AATCAATCCCAGCATTACCTTTGTGATATGGAACCTTGTGGTACAATGTCAGAGAGATCCATACACTTACACACAAGTTATTGTCATGAAACTAGAAAAATGCTTGTTTTTTGCCCCTAATTCCTAAAATTTGGAGGCAATTAATCCCCAAATCAATCCAAGCATTCCCTTTGTGATATGGAACCTTGTGGTACAATGTCAGAGAGATCCATACACTAACACACAAGTTATGTCTGGAAGTTACAAAAATGCTTATTTTTTGCCCCTTTTTAGCCCCTAATTCCTAAAATATTGAGGCAATTACCCCCATCATCAATCCCAGCCTTCCCTTTGTGTTATGGTACCTTGCAGTACAATTTCAGAGAGATCCATACACTTGAACACAAGTTATTGTCTGGAAACTAGAAAAATGCTTATTTTTGGCCCCTTTTTGGCCCCCCAATTCCTAAACGTTTCTGACAATAACCCCTAAACTCAATTCCAGCTTTCCCTTTGTGATATGGAACCTTGTAGTACAATTTCAGAAATATCCAAACACTTACACACAAGTTATTGTCATGAAACTAGAAAAATGCTTGTTTTTTTACCCTTTTTTTGCCCCTAATTCCTAAAATTTTCAGGCAATTACCCCCAAAATCAATCCCAGCATTACCTTTGTGATATGGAACCTTGTGGTACAATGTCAGAGAGATCCATACACTTACACACAAGTTATTGTCATGAAACTAGAAAAATGCTTGTTTTTTGCCCCTAATTCCTAAAATTTGGAGGCAATTAATCCCCAAATCAATCCAAGCATTCCCTTTGTGATATGGAACCTTGTGGTACAATGTCAGAGAGATCCATACACTAACACACAAGTTATGTCTGGAAGTTACAAAAATGCTTATTTTTGGCTCCTTTTTGGCCCCTAATTCCTTAACTGTTGGTACCATAACCCCCACAATCAATCCCCACCTTCCTTTTGTGGTATTGAACCTTATGGTAAAATTTCATAGAGATCCATTAACTTAAACAAAAGTTAGAGTGCGAAAACCAATGTGTCTTCGGACGACGACGATAACGTCATACCAATATACGACCGCAAAATTTTTTTGCAGTCGTATAAAAATATCACAAGGACCATAAGAACAACAATTTCACAGGAATTCTCATATGCAGGGCTGAACATTACCGTTTGTCCGATTGTCCAAGACAAGTGGACATAGGTGTCAGACAAGTAGAATCATCATATTAGTTGTCTTGGGACAAATGAAAAATCCATTATATAAAACATATCAAACTTTCAAGACTAACAAATGCCTAAAACATGAACGATTCTTCTATTGATCAAACAAAACCTTCATTCAATTTCAATCCTGGTATCTATGATGAGTTTTTTCACTGATTGACATGCTGGCTGACTGAAGCTTTTATATCGAAAGAGATAAATCCCAAGAGATCTGGGTTGCCGGAACCACAATCTTTAACGTGTTGTAATTAAGTGGAATTTGCAAGGCTTTTTTGATAACCGGTGGTACAGGAAAAATATTGAAATTACGGGTTATTTGATCACCTGGGCAACTATAGAAAAATCTCCGGTGAGCTCTTCCTTTTTTTTTAAATTCCTGGTGTGACCCGCAAAATATGGGTCAGTTGACAGGTATGTTTGGAGTCCTAAGTATGGATTCACTTGTACCTCTTGTATAATATATATTTGAGCATGTGGAATTTGTCTGTTTTTTAAATTGATAGATAGGACATAGCATTTTTTGACGTTGAATCGCATTTAAATCCCACATTTGTCTGTCCAAATTTCTAGTTGTTCCAAATCTGATTGAAATTTGTGGCGGTCTTGGTCAGTTCTAATTGTTCTGTATAATAGGCAATTGTCTGCAAATAATCTTACTGATGATGTTACACTGTTTGGCAGGTCATTTATGTGGCAAAGAAACAGGATTGGTCCTACATGATGTTTCATGCAAATTGGTAACTAGAGGCTCTAAAGAGCCTGTGTCGCTCACCTTGGTCTATGTGCATATTAAACAAAGGACACAGGTGGATTCATGACAAAATTGTGTTTTGGTGATGGTGATGTGTTTGTAGATCTTACTTTACTGAACATTCTTGATGCTTACAATTATCTCTATCTATAATGAACTTGGCCCTGTAGTTTCAGTTGAAATTATTTTGTAAAAATTTACAAAATTTATGAAAATTGTTAAAAATTTATTATAAAGGGCAATAACTCCTTAAGGGGTCAATTGACCATTTTGGTCATGTGACTTATTTGTAGGTCTTACTTTGCTGTACATTATTGCTCTTTACAGTTTATCTCTATCTATAATAACATTCAAGATAATAACCAAAAGCTGAAAAAATTTCTAAAAATTACCAATTCAGGGGCAGCAACCCAACAACGGGTTGCCTGAATGGTCTGAAAATTTAAGGGCAGATAGATCTTGACCTAATGAACAATTTTGTTTTTAAAAGATTTGCTAGAAATGCTTTGGGTTTAGATATATGAGCCAAAAACTGCATTTTACTCTATGTACTATTATTAGCCATGTCGGCCATCTTGGTTTGAGGGCGGGGTCATCAGACACAATTTTTAAACTACATACCCTAATGAAGATTGTTTACAACTTTAGTTAAATTCATCTTAGTAGTTTCAGAGGAGAAGATTTTTGTAAAAGATAACAAAAATTTACGAAAAATTGTTAAAAATTGACTATAAAAGAGCAATAACTCCTTAAGGGGTCAACTGACCATTTTGGTCATGTTGACTTATTTGTAGAACTTACTTTGCTGAACATTATTGCTGTTTACAGTTTATCTCTATCTATAATAATATTCAAGATAATAACCAAATACGGCAAAATTTCCTTAAAATTACTAATTCAGGGGCAGCAACCTAACAACGGGTTGTCCGATTCATCTGAAAATTTCAGGGCAGATAGATCTTGAGCTAATAAACATTTTTGCCCTGTCAGATTTGCTCTCAATGCTTTGGTTTCAGAGATATAAGCCAAAATCTACATTTTATCCCTATGTTCTATTTTTAGCCATGGCGGCCATCTTGGTTGGTTGGCCGGGTCACCGGACACATTTTTTGAACTAGATACCCTAATGATGATATTGGCCAAGTTTGGTTAAATTTGGCCCAGTAGTTTCAGAGAAGAAGATTTTTCTAAAAGTTTACGGACGACGGACGCCAAGTGATGAGAAAAGCTCACTTGGCCCTATGGGCCAGGTGAACTAAAAAAGCAAGGTGTATCCCGTCGTGAGCAAACTTTGGTCATTTAAGAACATTTTTATTTTATTTTTCTATAGACTCAGCTTTTTTTTTTTACTAGCGTACATTAATGTCATGCAAGCTTGGTGTCTCATAATTGTTTCCTAATCACTGAATATACGATGTAGTACATGTAGTAAACTGTAGCAGCTGACCCCGTGTGTTTACCTTCATTTTCTAATGGTGGCAAACCACATGACACATCGGATCGGTCTCTCAGTCTGCAAATCAAATCACACTAGGGCCAATTAGGGGAATTTTTAGTCTGAGGCAATTGTGTTATTTGTTTGTATGATAGTGCTTTGAAATTGTTTGCAATGAATTGATGTTTATTTAACCAGAAATCTCATTATTTACCATCAAATTTGACAGCAATGGAATTTTTATGAATTTTCACTAATGTTCAGAATATTGATCTCTTTATATGGAACCTGGGACATAATATATTGTTAGTATATAATAGTCCCAGATGGATTTTTTTTTTAAATAAATAAAGTACTGAGATTGGAAAGCATGTTGATATATACCAGTATAGACCAAAATAAATTCAAGAAAAATATATATTACACATATTAATTATAGAAACAAACAAATTAGCATCTATAATCATGATAATCATCTTCACTCTCCTAATGTACACTATGAAAGATGCCACCTCTTCTCAATACCTATGGAACTTCCTTAGAAGAAAGTTTCTCGCTACCTATGGAACTTCCTTAAGAGAAAGTATTTCACAAATGTACCCAATGCTATCACATTGTGCCCACTTTGTGAAGATCAAACTCACACTCTTCCATGCCTATTCTGGCATAAACTACATATATACACATCATTTCGCCAATTATTTCCCAATATTGAGTCCTCTGTGATGCAATCCTGGTTTCTGAAAATCAACAACTTTCAAAAATTCTTGCCCTTAATTTTTTCTTGTGTTCCTGTTCCTGTTAACCTGGTTTTTTTCTGGTAATCTTTTTACTAAATCTGTCTTGCATGTACCATTTCTTTTATCTTCTTTCATGAATAAACAAATTTCTTAGACTTACCATGGGTACTTCTACTTTATGCTCCTTCATCTTCTTAGTAATAAATGTTAATTAAACAACACTCATTAAAAGAGAACTTAGTGCAGAAAAATCAGGTATTGTTACTCATATCATCAACAGTACGTACAACATGTACAAAACAAGAAAAGACATATATTAGTTTATGTAGCAGGATCAATTCTGCAGTGGAATCATTAAGAGACTGAGCATTATATAGCTAATGGTGAGGTAAGTATGTATTAAGATACATATAAATCCTACTTTCTAAGCTTTGAATGAAGTAAAGAGTACCTTTTCGAACAACCAGACTTCTAGTAATAAATGCTATATATTTAGAAATATATAACTTCTAAATATAGGTACACAATAATTTGAAATGTTTCAAATCAGATATATAAATTTCTGAATATGAATAAAAGTATTTTATAAACAAATTATGAATAGAATAATCTATCAAATTTAACCAATACGCCAGTTCCGGGATACGGTAGTTAGTCGAATCTGTCATGTGACTTCCATCACCACGTGACAAAAATGTAGACATTGTCACTTCCAACACATGTTGAGCGAACGGGTGAAAAAGTTTAATCTTATACTGCACAACATATTTGGGAAATTAAAATCTAATAAGTTGGTCACCCTCCCTTCAGTCGTACGGGAATTAAGATTTAATACCTACTTACGGAATATAAATTATTTCTAGACTACGGTCTTCCCTGCAGAATGACTATTCTAAAAGTGCTGGAACTTGAATAGAGCAGGGATACAGGTGCGCCTTCTAGCTGGTAAATGACGTCATAAAGGAGTGCGAAATTGACGATATTTTCCTGTGAAAGACATGATTCGAGAAATGGCCTATTGTGCGACTATCTGCCATAACAAAAAATGTTCATTAATGAATATGAAATTCAGAGTTAAACAAGGGAGATTACACCACATATCTATTCAATTCATTTCTATTACCTTGAAATCACTCTACATGTATCTCTCACTCTAATTGGGTCAACTCAACTTGGTTTTAAATTGAATTTATAAAAAAGAGAAACAGGATGCGTATAAAATGTTTTTTTTTTCTTGTTTCCAATAAATATACTAATTAACGTTTAAATTGTTTTTTTAACCTACTCCATACTTCCTGCACAAAAAATATGGCATGTACATCTGCACTGACAAATTGTGTTCTTTGTTGATTTCCCCAATGTAATTATCTAATTTTCTTTCATTTTGGGTGCTTTTTCGTGGGAAAAATTCTTTAAGAAGTAAGGTGCTTGTGAATGTCATTTTGAAATTCTTTATAAGAAGATTTGCCTGGCCTGTTTGGTCTGTCATCAAGCATGATGACATGTAATGGAATGTAAACAAAGCAATGGAGGCCGGAAGAAGGGTTTTCTGAAGTTCTGAAATTTTCTTTACATATACGAAAGTCAGGTTTGAAATGGCCATTAGAAAATCTGCATTTTTGTACAATTCTTAACAATAATAATGAAAACATATTTTTACTAATCTCACTTTATTTAGAATTGTAGAAAAAATGTTTTCTGCACTAATTTTATACGCTGGTAGTAGTGACGTCAATGCAGAGTTTACTCGTGTGATAGGTACAATAACAAAGTCTGACGATCCGGCATAATGACCGATTACAGACTACGATAGGATAAATTATATCCTCGTCTCATGGATTTTCATGCTATTAAGAATGCATTGTGAGTCACTATTTCCATTGAAAAAGCAAGCATAGTACGAATTCATATGATGTACGAAAACATATGATCTGACCATATATTTTTTTATTTTTCGTTTATCATGAGAATAGCTGCTGCCATTTTATTTTCCGTTCGTCAATCATGGGGGGTCAGACCTATAATCTGACAGTCCCATAGTCCGACAGTCTTATAATCCGACAATCCTATAGTCCGACAGTCCTACAATCCGACAGCCCAATAGTCTGACGCGCGGTCACTTGTCTCTGAAAAATATGCCTATATAGACATGTAACGTTTGTGAATTGGTATATTTTTTCACACAGAAAATTAACAAATCAGTCAGTATGACGTCTTGTACAGGGCCGCAATAATTCCATACGAACCTGAAATGAACGCAGCGGGCTAAATTCAATCAGCAATCCTCGAATGAATCCACTAATACCCTAGCTTAGACGGTGGAACGGAATCGACCGAGTTTTGACGAATGGGGCTAAAACAGTAAAAGTCCAGTTAAATGATTAATATAAGGGCATTTTTTACATCAATATTTACGACAATCCGTTCAAGCAAAACTGAATTTTCAAACGACAGAGGAATTTGCAATGTTCATAACATACGATTTTACACATGACGTCGTTGACGTGAAAACGTTTACTTTGCAATGTAGAGCCTGATTGACGTGTGTCATACTGGGGGCAACCATTTGAATTTTACGGGGAAGGCTAAGAAAGAAACTATTTTCACCTACATTTGTTCACATCACATTATACACACAATATTCTTCATATTATAAATAGTCATTGAGGTGAATGTAGATCACCTTAGACTTTTTCTCAACATTTTGGGTCCCCTGCCTTACTATTTCAAAGTCCACCATAGCCCCACAAAAATCGAATGGTTAATCCCTTATGTTAACTCAAGTGTCAATTTTATTTGGAAGCACGTTGTATGCTTCTACTTCGAAACCATACACACTTTAGTGATGGCTGCAAAGGTTATTACCGGGAATCGGGGAGGGAAGGTACTAATCTATAATGGATACAAATATAAAAAAAAATAAAATGCTCCGCAGGGCGCAGCTTGATACGACCGCAGATGTCGAACCCTGAACAGTTGGGGCAAGTATGGACACAACATTCAAGCTTGATACAGCTCTGAATTTGGATTGTGATTAAATATTTGACACAGCATAGGTTTCTGACACAGAATGAATGTGGTCTAAGAACTTAAAAATTTTAAATTGGACATTCACCTATTATGGTCCAATATCCAAAATCTAAATACATGGTTAGATTCAGCATATCAAAGAACCCCAAGAATTCAATTTTTGATGAAATCAAACAAAGTTTAATTTTGGACCCTTTTGACCTCAATGTGGACAAAGTTGATAACGGGGCCCAAAAATCAATAAAATGCTCCGCTGGGGCGCAGCTTGATACGACCGCAGAGGTCGAACCCTGAACAGTTGGGGCAAGTATGGACACAACATTCAAGCTTGATACAGCACTGAATTTGGATTGTAATTAAATATTTGACACAGCATAGGTTTCTGACACAGAATGAAAGTGGTCTAAGAACTTAAAAATTTTCAATTTACCTATTCATACATGTGATGGACTGTGAAACTCAGATCAGGAGATTGGGAAATTTTGGTCAGGAGATTAGGACTCAGATCAGGAGGTTTTTAATCGACATTAATTTTGTTGTAAATGTAACCGTGTGCTGTAAAAATGGTCTTTTAAAGTGTGTTTTCTTCAACTTTCCATCCAATTTATTATGTTTATAGTACCCTTGTACTTATAAAGTTTCTCCATCTTTATATTCTACATGTTCAATCTAACATTGTTTTTTTCCAGTATGTTCTTTAAATTTTTTACTTCATATTCTATAAAACAATCATTGCAACTAGAACATTTTTTTAAGCTGTCTGCAAATAGTTTTTATTTATTTTTTTTTTCTCTTGCAAATAGTTTTTATTTGCAAACTCAGAAATTCATTCTATCTGTAAAGTTAGGGTCATAGTTATTATATAAATTTCAATTTAAGCCTTAAAAGGAAGTATAGAATCCTCAAATAATTTTCAAATTATTATTTTTTTATTTGTCCTAAGACATTTAAAATCATTTAATAACCATCCTTTTATGATTATTTGTTCAATTTATATTTTATTTATATTCTTTTAAAAATTTTCATTATTAAAAGGAAAGTAACTTAAAACAGGATAAATCAAGGGAAGTAACCCAATAAATACACAGTTTTTGTTACACAACGGCAGTTAGCCTGAGGTAAAAATCGTTGCTTACCAGTATGTTTGACACCCAAGCTGACAAGTGAAGCCATATAATTATGCATGTTAATTGATTTACAGGTAAAATATAACTTCAGGTAATGTCAGTTACACCAGATGCCTGAGATGATATGTTGGGCAGAAATTTTTCATTCATGAAAAATTTCATACACGGGATTTTTTCCTCTTCAACGGGAGGTCGGGAGGAGACCCCTGAAAACGGGATTATTGTACTCCCGTCGGGAGGTTCACATGTATGCCTATTCAAACCATATCATTATTATTTGCTTTTATATATAAATCAGAAATAACCAATTTAAAATGGAAAATGTTAAAGAAAAAAAAGGAAAAAAAAAATCCCCCCCCCCCCCCCCAATTTTTTGAACCCCCTTATGATTCACCGCCCCCAAACTCAATCCCAGCTTTCCCTTTGTGGTATGGTACCTTGCACTACAATTTTAGAGAGATTCATCCACTTGAACACAAGTTATTGTCTGGAAACTAGAAAAATGCTTGTTTTTTGGCCCCTTTTTGGCCCCAAATTCCTAAACGTTTAGGGCAATTACCCCCAAACTCAATTCCAGCTTTCCCTTTGTGATATGGAACCTTGCAGTACAATTTCATAAAGATCCATACACTTACACACAAGTTATTGTCCTGAAACTAGAAAAATGCATGTTTTTTTTGCCCTTTTATGGCCCCTAATTACTAAAATTTTGAGTGAAAACCCCCAAAATCAATCCCAGCCTTCCCTTTGTGATATGGAACCTTGTAGTACAATTTCTTAAAGATCCATACACTTACAAACAAGTTATTGTCATGAAACTAGAAAAATGCTTGTTTTTTGCCCCTTTTTGGCCCCTAATTCCTAATATTTGGAGGAAATTACCCCAAAAATCAATCCCAGTATTCCCTTTGTGATATGGAACCTTGTAGTACAATTTCATAAAGATCCATACACTTACAAGCAAGTTATTGTCATGAAACTAGAAAAATGCTTGTTTTTTGCCCCTTTTTGGCCCCTAATTCCTAAAATTTTGAGACAATTACCCCCAAAATCAATCCCAGCATTCCCTTTGTGATATGGAACCTTGTGGTACAATGTCAGAGAGATCCATACACTTACACACAAGTTATGTCTGGAAGTTACAAAAATGCTTATTTTTGGCCCCTTTTGGCCCCTAATTCCTTAACTGTTAGTACCATAACCCCCAAAATCAATCCCCACCTTCCTTTTGTGGTATTGAACCTTATGGTAAAATTTCAATGAGATCCATTCACTTAAACTAAAGTTAGAGTGCGAAAACTAATGTGTATTCGGACGACGACGCCGGACGACGACGACGACGACGACGCCAACGTCATACCAATATACGACCACAAAAATTTTTTTGCGGTCGTATAAAAATCTAAATACATGGTTAAATTCAGCATATCAAAGAACCCCATATATTCAATTTTTGTTGAAATCAAACAAAGTTTAATTTTGTTTTAATCCCGATTTGGACCAACTTGAAAACTGGGCCCATAATCAAAAATCTAAATACATGTTTAGATTCAGCATATCAAAGAACCCTAAAAATTCAATTTTTGTTAAAATCAAACTAAGTTTAATTTTGGACCCTTTGGACCTTAATGTAGACCAATTTGAAAACGGAACCAAAAATTAAGAATCTAAATACACGGTTAGATTCGGAATATCAAAGAACCCCAATAATTCAATTTTTGATGAAATCAAACAAAGTTAAATTTTGGACCCTTTGGACCTCAATGTGGACCAATTTAAAAACAGGGCTCAAAATCCAAAAACTTAATACACGGTTAGATTCAGCATATTAAAGAACCCCAAGAATTCAAGAATAAAACCCCATTGAAATTGATCAAGAAATAAGCAATTTATATGAAGTATCTTCTTTTGCACAATACTGTGTAATTGAATATTTCTTGCTATTGCGCAATACTGTACAATTGACAATTTCTTGCTATTGCGCAATATTGTGCTATTGGATATTTCTTGCTATTGCGCAATACTGTGCAATTGAAGATTTCTTGCTATTGTGCAATACTGTGCAATTGAAGATTTCTTGCTATTGTGCAATACTGTGCAATTGAAAATTTCTTGCTATTGCACAATACTTATTATATAATAATTTACACATCCTGTTTGGTGTGTATCTCCTACCATATCATTATTATTTGCTTTTAAATATTAATCAGAAATAACCAACTTAAAATGGAAAATTTTAAAAGATAAAAAAAAAGGAAAAAAAGAAAAAAAAAGTAAAAAAAAATCCCCCCCCCCCCCCTCAAATTTTTTGAACCCCCTTATGATTCATCAACCCCAAACTCAATCCCAGCCTTCCCTTTGTGGTATGGTACCTTGCAGTACAATTTCAGAGAGATCCATACACTTGAACACAAGTTATTGTCTGGAAACTAGAAAAATGCTTATTTTGGGCCCCTTTTTGGCCCCCAATTCCTAAACGTTTCGGGCAATTACCCCCAAACTCAATTCCAGCTTTCCCTTTGTGATTTGGAACCTTGTAATACAATTTCAGAAATATCCAAACACTTACACACAAGTTATTGTCATGAAACTAGAAAAATGCTTGTTTTTTGCCCCTTTTTTGGCCCCTAATTCCTAAAATTTTGAGGCAATTACCCCCAAAATCAATTACAGCCTTTCCTTTGTGATATGGAACCTTGTGGTACAATGTCAGAGAGATCCATACACTTACACACAAGTTATGGTCTGGAAGTTACAAAAATGCTTATTTTTGGCCCCTTTTTTGCCCCTAATTCCTTAACTGTTGATACCATAACCCCCAAAATCAATCCCAACCTTCCTTTCGTGGTATTGAACCTTATGGTAAAATTTCATGGAGATCCATTCACTTAAACTAAAGTTAGAGTGCGAAAACCAATGTGTCTTCGGACGACGCCGGAAGAACACCAGATGACGACGACGACGACGCCAATGTCATACCAATATACGACCAAAAAATTTTTAATTTTTGCGGTCGTATAACCAGAGAACCGAATCATTTATTGGCGCATTCAGTGTAGGGCTAATATAAAAACTAATATATTTGATGTCAACGACCCTCATGCGATTGTTCGCATTCTCGAAAACAACGAGCACACCCATGAATCAGACGATGCAAGTATATCAAGGAGTGAAACTTTAAATACAATAAAAGATCCGCTAATGGAGGAACCAACTGTACCTATTAAAAGATAAGTTTATGATAGAGTAGCTAGAGATATGAACAGAGGGGGTGGTGTTCCGGAGCGCATCCCCAAATTTCCTGAGTTATCAGCAGATTGAGGCCCCAAAGTTTAAACTCCGGTCTTGGTGCCAGAGATGTGAGAGGGAGGGTGAAATTCACCCTTCTGATTAATGAAATGTCTTGCCCCCAGAGTCAGAATCGAACCCGGAACATTCAGCACTGTAGCCATCGGTCTTAACTACTATCTGCTTTGTCTGCTGTGAGTGAATAAGTACTGTATTCAGGTCATTGCCCATCTTCGTTCAGTTCTTTTTTCACATAATTGGTGTCATGTCGTGATGATTCTATGACTAGGAATGCTTAGGTCCATATTATAATTTACATAGAAGTGTTATCATTTATCAGCAAAAAGTTTGGGTTTTGGCAATTAAACCATAAAAAGACAAGATAGAACAGCGATTTATATTGCCTTACAAAAGCAGTGATAAGGTAAATTTTGATGACAGAAAAATAGACGCAATGTATTAAGATTTCATTCCAAATCCATAACTATGAAACATCTTCTGAAAGTGTTACTGCATCTGGAAAATTTGAGATAATGACACTATTCTTATTTTATCAAAACTGATTGCTCTTTTAAGAACAAGAGAAAAGATAAAAAAAATTATTTATTAGGCCATAAAAAAGAATATGTTTGTTTGCCCTAACCCTACCTACCCAGAAAATAGCTGCCTACTCAAAATCTTTTATTGTCCTGATGTGAAAAGTTTTTTTTTCTAATCAGATAGGCATGAAGACTAAACAACATCTGACACTTCAATTTCTCTTTGTTGAAAAAAAGAAAGAAAATGCCTACCTACCTACCCACTGTCTCTACCTTTGGGTAGGGTTTGGGCAAACCAAAATATTTTTAAGTGTGTAATACTTCTATGTAAATCAATCCGATGTAGTCGTCTCATGTCTTCGGGGATAACGCCCCTCAGATATGAGAAGCATACATCTTAATACATGTGACATTTCACATTCAACCACATAATACGTTACATGCACGCGCATGCGCATGTATGTAAACAGACATTCTCGTTATCAACTTCGACATGAAGAACAGGAATGGAATCTTAGATTAATTGTTCAAACAGTATAGGATTTAATTTGGATCCCATTACAACGTATTCCACTTTTTAAATTTTAAACACTTCTCGCGTTTCGACAGTATACTAATAAGCTTATATGAAGACGAGATCCAATTATCCTTTGCAGCAGCACGGCTTCGTGTCGGACCATCGGACTGTCGGACCATCGGCCTATTGGACCGTCAGACTACTGGACTGTTGGAATTTTGGGGTGTCGAATTATAGCTACGCTCCCAATCATGGCATACCATCCTACTTTTAATGACCCTCCATTAAATAAACAATTCTTTTGTTTATCACTGTAGATGAATCCCTTGATTTAGCTATGGTATTCCCCAGCCTGCTTTACAGCTTTGTTCATCCTGTTTTGATATACAGATAAAAGATCATAAAACAACCAGTCATAATTATAAGTAGAATATTTTAAAGACACAAAGGGGATACAACAATCCATCGACACAAAGTTGGTTTATTCATACTTACATAATAAATTTCAATTTTGTAGACAATAGCTGATTTTTATGTGTTATTTAATGTAAACATTGTCTTGTTGACCATTGATCACACGATCACAATATGTGCTGACGTCAGAGATTTTTGCTACACGATTTATAGAGCGTTCTACGACGGAAGTAGAAAAACCAATGTGTTTACATTGGAGATAAAAATCGATTGTGTATTCTGTTCAGGTAGGAATGCTCAGGGGACATTAATATATGGTATTTTACCTACATCATGCAGGCATATCGATTAGCACCAGTGGTAACGAGAAGTGATAATTAATTATGAAACGTGAAGATTGTACCTTAGGGAAATAAATTATTTATTGCAATATATCTTGGTAAGCTATAATTACCAGATAACATTGTACTTTGCAAATTTCACAACTTTGAAAGTTGAAAAAAAAATAATACTCATAAAAGTATATATGAACAAAACCCTGGAGATAACTGTCATCCTAATTAATCAGTAGAAAAATTTGAATAAACAAGATACACTTGCTGTACATAATGATATAACTATAATTATTTTTTGATATTTTAAATGACTCAGGTATTTATTACCCTAATGATATTATACAAAATCTCATGATAAAACAAAAATTTATAATAAATGAACACAATTGTTCAAATAGTAAAAATAAATAATGCTTTATATTTTATTGTGCTAATTACTTTAATAGATAAACAAGATTATCCTTTCTTATATGTATATATATTTCTTAAATCAAGAATTTTTGAAAAAAAAATAGTTTCATTGACAATTAAATCAGCAAGATATATAGTACTCTTCTTGTTATAGGATATCCACCCTATTTGCAGGGTCACCACATGAAAAATATGTGTGCGTTTATTTTAAAAAATGAATTATTATCATGACTATATACCTAGTTCAAATTTAGTTATACATTGTATATGTTAAACAAAATAAAAATAAAGGTAAAAATAGAGAGAATTTGTATTTTATACACTGTACACATCAGTCTGACAAGAAACTTTATATTATTTTGAAATGGATAAAACTCTTTGATTATAGAAATTGGTTAGACTTACTGTAGTTTAAAAATTTCCATTTTTTATAATAAAAGTCTTCATGATTTATCATTGTCTGGTACAATGAATAGAGTTTTTTTTTTAAATTGCATGGGTAACCTAAGTTTTGAGTGATTTTAAAATCTAAAATTTAAAATCTTTATAAAAGGCATGAAAGGTATATCTTCAAAATCTCAGTTTTGTATGATTAGAAATCTAAAATTATAACCTTAAAATCTTAAAAGTTTAAAAATTGGTAGTTACCTATTATCTAAAATGTGAAAAGCATGAGATTCATAGAGTTAACTTTGTTAATTGTAGTATATTACATACTAAGAATACATTAAATCAAATTAAAATATATGATAAAACATCTGTTGTTATCGTTTTCTCGTTTCCATTTCTGCTGATGTGTACATTTTTTTTATTACATGTATAGGTTGTCACACCCTTTTATTTGGAAGAAAATAATCATTTCAGATAATAAAGGGAAATTAGTTTATGTAAATAATGTTGTAAGAATTAAATGTTAAAAAAAGGCATGTAGGAGGGAGTGTAATTATTTTTATTTTTCAACCTCCAAAGAACTGTCATAAAAAGCAGTCAAATCTTCAACTTTCAAAAATGTTTTTACAAAATTTCAATTTTTTTCCAATTTCACTTGTATTTGATCTTAAGAGTTGTTTTTCTAGTAAAAATTGTCAACTGTTGTAAAACATTTTGGTTTTCTATATAATGTTTGGTGTGCACAAGTTAAATGACATGTTTATAATGCTATTTTTTTTATTCATTTCAATGTTGATCTGTTAAAGCATTGATATAAAATTTTACTCTGATAATTAAGATTAAATATCTGAGAAAACACTAAAAGGATTTGATTCATTTAAATGTTGCTTCATAGGAGATTCTTCGAAATGACATTACATAAGTGACCAGAGGTGGATTGGATCAGTCAACCAAATGGTTCACTCTTGTTTCACTTTCAATGTTGCCATTTTTTCCTTTAATAGCTGAACACACCTAGTACATGCATAATCCATCTCTAGCTAAGGGGTTAAATTGAAGGTCACATGAATACGGTTTCAATGAGGTTAAATTATAGACTTGCAAAGGCAATAATACATCAGCTATGTTTGTGAGCTTATTTTTACAAATTTGGGTCAAACTGACTGCTTATAACGAAATATTATTTCAAAATTCTGCTTTTATTAATACTTGAAACAAAAAGAATCGTATTTAAAAAAAAAATCTGAATTGTAGCTAAATTGTAGCCCCTTTAAATTTCATACTTAGTACACGTTTTAAACTCTCCTTTTTACTTCTTTTGTGAATTTTTCCCCTAATAAACATGACTTATGGTCAATGATTTGCCATACCGGTAAATTGTGAATAACTGAAATTGTTGTAATCAAATTATGTAATAGATATAGGAAGATGTGATATGAAAGCCAATGAGACAACTCTCCATCCAAGTAACAATTTATAAAAGTAAACCATTACTGGTCAAGGTATGGCCTTGCATATATAAATGCTATCAATTGTCAAAATACATGCATGTCTTCAAAATTAAAGAATAGAAAAATCTTTGTGAATTTCATCTAAGAAAAGTGAAGATTAATTTGAAACCCCTACACACCAAGAGTGATTTTATCTTTAATTAATGCAAATTTGATTAAAGAAATGTAAGCCTTATCCTAGGAGACCAAGATGTCTGATAAAAAAAAATCTTCAAACAGTGAATATGGATTTAAAGTATAAACAAAAGATTTGATTATTACATGACTCAGTCTTAACTTGGATATCAACCAAGTTTGAGTTTTGGTTATATCATCGATTTGACTATATGGTTTTACCTTCCTGACCACAAAGTTATTTCTATTTCATTTCAAATTTGATTTTACATGCAATGGAATATATAAAAGGAAAAATCTTTAATTTTTTACTTCTAGTCAGAGATGGATGATCAGCTGAGAACACCATCTCCTGGGTGGGGATCTGGATCTAGGACTCCATCACCAGCATCCAGAACTCCTTCTCCTTCTGGTCATCTGAGGACTCCATCACCACCATTCAGAGGACATAAAACACACAGTGTCATCAGACCACACTCCTCTAAGCCAAAAAAGCAGATTAATTCTACAGAGGATGAGGTACCAGTCAGACATATGCCAAAGTTACGCAGGCCATGGACAGCACATGTTAAATCTTCAGGGTCACAAAAAGTAGCAAGAAAAACTTCAAAAAAAATCTCTCGCAAGACTCCAACTCGAACAGAAATTACATTTGAAACAAAAGATGTGCCCATTCCAAGGAAAGAGAAATCTCCAAGATCCTCACCAAAATCATTTTCTGTTGAACAGTTTTTGCTTCGTACGCCAATGGCAAAGCATAATGAAGAAAGTGATAGAGCAGAAAAAAATCATACCACTTTGGATGGTGGTGTTAAAACACTTGTGTCAGGTAATAAACTCTTTGTTCATTATTTAGGGTCTAAATTATTAAAATGTTTAGAAACCACCTGTTTATCTGTTATCAGTTTCTATTTATTAAATAATTTTCGAATATGGATAAAGAAATTAAGCTGATTTTTTGGTATAAGGTATATGGATTATGGTTCGTTCTGTTTACTTGTTAGGTAATGGAATTATGGTCCTACGACTTTACTTTCATATTTATTTAGTTTCTGGTACGTGACTGTAAGTGTTGCTCTCCACCTATTGCAGTTCATTCAAAATTCTGGCCCAATTGCAATTTGTTTTATCAAACCATAACTGATCAACTAGTCAGAATTGTTAACCAACTGCTGTAGAAAACCAAGCTAACTAAGTTCAAGGTGATAAAATAAAGCATACTTACAATCCTATAAGACTTTAAATCCACTCCATTATTGGTATTATGAAAATTAATGAAGCTAAAAATATCTATACATATTGTTATTGTAAAGAGATATTTGAAAAGGTTAGGGGTAGTAGTTTTTTAACAGTAGTTGGTTAAAATAGTGAAATTGATGAGAAAAATATAAGAGTTGATTTTATATGACCTAATCATAAAGTATTAAAATCAGAATTATAGTTTCAGTAATCTTGCACATCTCTGCAGCTTCTATAGAATTCTTTAAAAAAAGTAACTGTGTTGGTACATATGCACTTAAATCTAAAGACACAAAGGTACTATTTATTGAAACCTTTGCTACATTTACTTGTTTTCATTGTTTAAATGTCATATCATTTTCAAGTATTCGATTATGAGCCTTTCCTTATTGAATTTAGTTGATATATTAAGTATCTTATGGACTTCTTTCATATTACAAGTGCCATATATTAATATTTACACTGCTATAAATCTAGTCAATATTGATATTGGGAAATGAACACTATCAAATCTGTCCTCCTACTTATTATAACCAAGGATGTCTTCTGATGGTCAGGTTTTCTTTTATTTTCATTATTAAAGTATATATACATATTAGAAGGAATTCATGTCAGTACATACATTTTTTCACATTCTTGAGAAAAAAATAAAGTTTGATTATGTGTATTAATTTGCTTTTCCTAATTTTTTTAGATTGATTCTTTTTTTTTCATAATTCGATTTACATTTCTGTGGCTTTTTATTCTATACAAAGTCAATATATTTTTCTTCACAAATGTAATGTGCTTCTGATTTTTGGACATAATAAGATAATAAGATGTGTGAAACTTGTTCTTTTATCAGAATAATCTTTTCCCTTGCAGAAGAAAATGAAAATGATGGTGAGAGTTGGGCAATTACAAATGCATATGAAAATGGCACAGATGGTAAACAGAAAAAGAAACATCCAACATATGAATCCTGGCTAGCTGGGTCTCCACATGACTCAGATGAATATGACACAGACTTAGAGGCTGATGTTCAGAAAGGTAATAAATGAGGGGGAGTGTGATATAATTTTGATGTTACCTTCTTTAGATTGAGTATTATTTATTGGATGCTAATATTCATTCCTGAATTTTGTTGATAAAGGCATACCTTTCAGTAAATCATTATAAATGTCATTTTTTTGGTGAACATTTTGTTGATAAAAGCAAACGGCAAACCTTTCAGTTTTAACATGTTAAAAATCTTTTTAAATGTCACTTTTTTTGTTAACATTTTGTTGATAAAGGCAAACGGCAAACCTTTCGGTTTTAAAATCTTTATAAACGTCACTTTTTTGGTGAACATTTTGTTGATAAAGGCAAACGGCAAACCTTTCAGTTTTAAAATCATTTTAAATGTCATTTGGTGAACATTTTGTTGTTTGGCACAGTTGATGACTGATTGATATTTCAATCACATAGCCAGACATTAGAATTAAGTATATTTCAAAGCTGCTTTATTTGAAACACTTCCCTGAAATAGCAGCAGAAGTTTTTTTTTATAAAACATATAGAATTTGTATTCACAAAACAGTGGGTGAACTGAATGTATTAGATAATGAAAAGACAATCTTAACAGGATAAGATCAGTATTTTTTTGTTTAATCTCAGCTGACAGTTATTGTTTTATTATGTGTATATCTGAATATTGGTTAAATATCATACATATAACAGTTATATCATGTAGGCTAAGTAAAATTGATTATTTTATCTGTAATAGGCTTGCTTGAAGTGATTTGTTTTAACCTAAATTGCATGAATTTAGTAGGAAGGTATGGTACATATGTGCATATAGTTTTCATTTGAACAATGGAGATGATTCATGTACAATTTTTGGTCAGATTGGCCCTAAAATTAAGTGTTTATTGATTTTTCTCCATATTTGCATAACAAAACATTGAACCTATATAGTTTATATAGTATAACCTTTACTTTGGTTGTACATGTATAATAAGCTATGGAAATGATAGTTAAAATTCAGTAAAATGGCAATGTTACTGAAATTTGACAATTTAGTAAAATGGCAATTTTACTGAAATTTGACAATTTAAATAAAACAATGGTGAATGAATAATATAGAGCACACCCCTTGCCTAAAAAGATATTCAAAAAGGAAATGTTTTTGTGTTTTTCTTTTTACTGGCAAAACGTTTTGAATGATGCATGTGCTATGTTAATTTAGCCAAAATTTCTTGATTTTGTTTATATTTAAGAAACTGACAAATCTTTCTTAAAAAGTCCCTTTAATAATGTCAGTCAAATTGTGTCATTACGCCCAAGATTATTCTTACATTTTCTGAAAGTTTGTATTTTAAAGTTTAAAACATAGTGATTATTCTTTTTGGGGGGCAAATTTGCCCATAATTTAGTTTCTCTTTTCTGCAATGATTATTCCTGGTAATTGTTTGATCACTGTATAAATTTGGTTTCTTGACATTAAACTACCAATAAGTAGTCATATAAAACAAGTTTAAACCTCATATTATAGTCTAGGCATCTTCATAAAAAGTAAAGCTAATTGGTAGTTTACAGGGGGAAAAATTAGCAAATTCACAGGATCAATCTAGACTTGCCATCATCATGATTGTGCAAAAGTTTAGATTTTAATAAAAATATAGTAGAATCTCTCTGTTTTATTGGGGTAACCTTTGATTTTTATCAGAATCTTGATAATGCAAGATTTCCTTTTGAACCCATCTGTTGACAGAATAAGCATAGACATACATGAATTAGGGGTCAAACAAAATTCTTGCCAGAATTTTTATATTCAATTATGTACCTGTAGTATATAATCACAGTAAGGAATGAGAATATTTAAATTTTATCATTTTGACAGCTATCCTGGATTTGGAAATAGAAGAAATTAAAAAGCAACGAAAGAAAATTTCAGGTTTAAAAAAGTGCATCTTAATTTGGTTTAACAAAAAAAAAATGGTGCTTGATTTACAATTTTAAAGACCACTGGAAATTACAGTTTTTGTTTCTTCAGTTTTTTTTGGCTTTTTTTTTGGAGGGGGGGGGGGGGGGGGATTTTAAGTTGGCAGTTGATTTCAAGCATCATTAGCTAATACATGTATATTAAACTGATTTTGATGATTTTTTTTTCTAACAGTGTGTAAATTGTTTTTTGATTAATGAAAATTTTTTGCTTGAACAGTAATTACTGGTATATAAATGCATTAATGTCTTCACTGTTAATACAGTTGTTGTGGTATTAATAATTTGGATTGTTTTATCTACACTATGATATGCAGTATTAATCGTGTATGGCTTAAATTAAGAATTTACTTAATTTCCCTTTTAGAGTGCAAATGGAACAGATTTTCAGAAAATATATAGTAATAAAATTTATTTTCAATCCTAATATTTATTGCAAATTGTAATGTTTGAATATGGATTTAAGACAGGAATGTTTCATATAACATAATATAACACCAAGATATGGCTATTCATAAATGTAATTGTTTTTTTAAAGTACAATGCAGATTTCTGTGTGCACAACACAATCAAGTTTCTTGAATAATATTCAACATGTACGTTCCAGATCAGAAGATTGAATATTCAAAAATATAAAACGTACATTTTTGATCAGACAGTGATGCAACCTTTGTTTTAGAACAATTACATAATTTATTGACTAGAAATTTACTGACAAACGTATCATTTAAACACTTGCCTTTAATGAAGCATATGATACCAGACAGATACTTCTAGCACTGATAGTTGAAAGCTTCTGCAAAACACGATAGAAATTTATTTTTTGTTTGATTTTAAATAGAAAAGAAAATATTTTGGCAGGGGCAAAACTACTGAGTAAGTATAATGAAATGCAACTTTTGCTGTCCTGTTGAACAGAACATTTTTTAATTTTACGGATGCCATCACGAGTTGGTTGGTGGTTATGGAATATCTGTTTCTCAGATGAAGACAGATATGTTCCAATTGTCGTAACTACAATCCCGTCCCCTTTCCCCCGAATGTGACCTACCGAATTAGACATATCACTGGGTTTGTACTTACATGAGCATCATGACAGGTGCCACATGTGGAGCAGGATCTGCTCACCCTTCTGGAGCATCTGAGATCACCCCCAGTTTTTTTGGTGGGGTTCATATTGCTCAGTCTTTGGTTTTCTATGTTGTGTTTTGTGTTCTGTTGTTTGTCTTTTTCTTTGTTAGCCATGACGTAGTCAGTTTATTTTCGACTTGTGAGTTTGAATGTCCCTTTGGTATCCTTTACATCTCTTTGATTAATCTCCCATAAAAATCCTGCAAAACAGCAACATTCCATTCTATAATAATTGGTATCCTAGACAATGAATGAGGTTACACTGATGAGTTCCATAGAAAACCAAATGAATTTGTTTTGCTGTAAAAATTATTAATTGGTGATTTTATTTATCATTTAAGCAAAGGTATCCTTCCTTAGTGATATACAATTATTTCTTGTAGTTGACGAAAAGAAAGAGTTGGACCCAACCGGAAAAACTGCATACAATGAAGCTTGTGAAAAGACAGGTGAATTTTTTTATTATAAAACCTTTAAAAGATGTAAATTGATTTTCAATTACTTTTAGCTTTGAATTCATTTTTAGTTTGGAAGGGAAATGTGTATATAATATTAAAAGACAAGGAGATTTAAAAATGATAAATTAATCAAGATATATATGCAAAACAGTAGTCATGAAGGCAAGCATGGCTGAACTGCTATTTATAAGTCACCAAGAAATTTTAGAATTAGTATACCTAATTGAGCTAGATATAGACAATAAGCTTTGTAATTTTAAAGTGAAACCTGTCTGATGGTTAAGTGTCTTGAAAGGAAATTTTATGCTATATTGCTAAATTATTTCATTAAAAAAACACACATTTAAAAAAAAAAAAAAATGGTCAGATCATTTCTGTTTGATTTTAATCGACTTCACAGGTTCCACTGGAAGCAGAATTTTTATATCCTAGCACCAAAACCTCCATCACTTGTTTATCTCCATCCGTATGTCTGTCTGTCCAATGAAATTTTCTTTACATTTATCTCAGAAACTACAAACCAGAGCTTCTTGTAATTTAGTAGCAAGTTTCATTTGTCCATGCTATACAGTGAGATGCATTTTCACATTCATTGCTCATAGAATTCCTGTTTAATGAATACTGGTATTTATATATTCTTACACAAAGTGGCCATCAATGACCTCTTAGTAGCATTTTTCTTAGGATCTATGAATAGCTTCATGAAATTTGTTATTTAGCTTCATGTGAGCATGCTATACACAATACTGTGAAATGAGTTTTCACATCTATTTCCATTCCAAGGTAACCTCTACATGGGTGTTTTGGTTAAGTTATGTTGATGGGTTGTTTTTTATAAAGAGTTTACCTCACATCTAGATTTTTTCCTAGATGTTTGCATCTTTGAAGGTAATTAATGCAAATACATGCAGCAGAAGATTTTTTATCAAGAAATCACTTCATACATAATATGGTTTGATTTTGTGTTGTGTTTAAATTGACATTTCTATTATAGGATTGATACCAGTTACATATATGAATAAACATCTTGGTGATAAAAATCTGAGAATGAGACATCATTATTTGGGTGGAAATGGAACAAAGCCTATAGCAAGAGCACTGGAGGTAAACTTTATCATCAGTTGTGAAAAAAAAACAAGGAAAAATATTGCTTCCTCCAATACCTTGTAAGATGTTCTACATTTACAAATTACGATGAATGCTTTCACCATTACCGACTGTTTGGGGTTTAAGATAATAAAATCAATTATTTGCTGAAAAGAGTTTGTTTATTTTAGACTTAAAAATATCAATTCAGACAAATTAATTATTTAAAAATCAAATGTCACAAAATTGTTTTGGTTTTTATAATTTGTTTTTATTTAAAAATCTACAGGACACAAATCTCTTTTAACTGAAATTTTTTTAAACCCAAAATGAACAAAAGCAAATTTTCTGAAATATAAATTGTTCGGATATATATAACAGAGAAGAAATTTTACTTGAAATTTGGATTAAGAAATGCAATTTAGTTATTTTGTCCTCCTTCCAAATCCAAGTAAACGTAAAGGAAAAAATCCTGATCCCAAATATGTAAATAGTAGCTAGACAAAAAAGAAAGGAAAGTTTTTGTCATTAAGAATCAATATCAAGTTGGTGATAAATAGATAATGAAAGCTACAGGATATTTATTTGTCACTTGAATTTGCTATAATCTTGTTATGTTTGTAGAAGCTTACCTTATACTTCTATGCTGTCAAACTTTCAGTATAGATTTAAACAAATCTCAACAAATGTTTGCTTTCTCTGATAAAGTCAATACTACCTTAGAAAGAAAGTTTAAAGTGAATGTTAGATTATACTTAGATAGATTGATTTTTATTGATATATTGTTTTTTAGGTCCCGCAACATTTAAATTTGGCAAAAATTAATATCTAATCAAATATATTATTTATTTTATTTTCTCTCACTAGCAATGCACTCAGTATGACTGGTAGGATTTGTGTACAACTTTTGGGGCTACCATAATACACCTTATCGCTATTTAGTCCAATCCGGAAAAAAGGTCACTTAGACAACTTCCTGTTTGGGTCAAGTGTTGCAAAAACAAAGGTCATCAGTAACGAGCTAAGTAAGGAAAAAGTTTAGAAAGCAAACATTTTGAAACTTTGATAGATTATGATCAACTTTTTTTCAACACTAATTAAAGTAATAAAAATGCTTTGCTTGAAGTGCTTACGATGGTTTAAACATTTCTCTTTGAATAGTTTTAAGCATAATACGGTATATCAGGTTTTTTTCAGGTCAGTTTTTTTTTTCACGATTTGATGACAAAATGGGCAAATACATGCGAAAAAATAACTGTATCGTATTGTTAAAAATGTAAACAACATAAATTTGATTGACTGACAGGTAATCGATTCCAAAAAAAAATTTGAGTACTACAAACGAAAAAACATATAATTCAGTGAACTTTCAAGGAACATAAAATATGTACAGACCATGGGGGATGCAAAATATTGAAGGTTTTGATCATTACAGATAAACAAATATCCATGTAAATGTGATTTATATTTATTTTGATTTTACATCAGATGCAAAATGTTCGTGTTATGACACCAATCAATAGATGTCGCTAATTAACATCTTTTAACCTGTCACTGTGTTGTCAAAAGGTGTGACATATATGATTAGTCATTTTAATTATTATATAATCAGAGATCTTAATTAAGTATACACATTCTTGTGATCTACCGAACAACACAAAAGACTCGAAAATCAACAGTATAATGTATGAAACTTTCAAACAATAAAAAATCTGGGAATATGCAGTGAAAATTACGTGGGGTCAAATTTTCGCATTTCTTGAGCTGCCACGAACAAAGCAAAAATAGGACACACGCGAAAAAATACCCGATATATGGTACATTGTTTAAACAGGGCCCCAGATAGCTTCAACTGGATGAAAAAGTTGTGTAATTTTAGAACTTATCTGGATTTGAATAAATAACGATAAGGTGTATAGAAATTATATGAAATAAAGCATTCCTTATCCTTAGTTTCAGGATAAACAGTTCACTTTTTATACGCCCTTCAAATTTTTGACGGGACGTGTTATGTTATACAAATGTCCGGCGTCCGTCCGTCTGTCCGTCCGTCTGTCCGTCCGTCCGTCTGTCTGTCCGTCTGTCTGTCCGGCGTAAACATGTCGCACCGTAACTTGAGAATGACTTATCCAAAATTCATGAAACTTAACATAGTTGTTTCTTATGATGGTCAAACGATCTGTATACTTTTTGGTGAAAATAAGATTAAAACTTTTTGAGTTACGGGACTTAGTAACTAAAACAGGTGTGTGTTTTTTTTCACATGTCGCGCCGTATCTCAAAAACAATTTATGATTATTGCTTAAAACTTTACGCACTTCTTAGTTATATTAATCTTAAGATCTGTATACTTTTTGGTGATGATTCAAAATTTTATTTTTGAGTTATTGAGTATTTTGTTAAAAAAGGGGAGGGGTTTTTCACATGTCGCGCCGTATCTCAAAAACCGTTTATGATTATTGCTTAAAACTTTACACACTTCTTAGTTATATTAACCTTAAGATCTGTATACTTTTTGGTGATGATTCAAAATTTTATTTTTGAGTTATTGAGTATTTTGTAAAAAAAAAGGGGGAGGGGTTTTTCACATGTCGCACCATATCTCAAAAATGATTTTATGATTATTGCTTAAAATTTTACACACTTCTTAGTTATATTAATCTAAAGATCTGTATACTTTTTGGTTTTGATTCAAAATTTTTTTTTTGAGATATTGATTTTTTTTTTTAAAAGGGGTGTTTTCACATGTCGCGCCGTATCTCAAAAACGATTTATGATTATTGCTTAAAATTTTACACACACTTCTTAGTTATATTAATCTAAAGATCTGTATACTTTTTGGTTTTGATTCAAAATTTTATTTTAGAGATATTGAGTTTTTTGTAAAAAAAAAAAGGGGGTTTTTGCATGTCACGCCGTATGTCAGAAACTATTTATGCTTATTGCATAAAAATTCACACACAAGACGACGGGCGTATCATGCGCTCATGGCGCAGCTGTTTATTTACAGATGCTATGCCAGTGTATTTTGTGTATAACAGTAATGAAATTGGAAAAATGTAATATTCCCTAAACTGAAATAATTTTTTTGAAAGGTTAGCATCCATCCTTTTGCATAGATCTATGTTTATTTTATTAATGTTTGTCACATTTCAGTCCTATTACTATAAGAGCAGACACTCCATACAATTTTCTTTATGTTAAGTCATTGTATAGCTATTGCATAACTTTAAAGGTTTTATGCTCACAAACATGTTTAACCCTGCCACATTCTTTGCCTGTCCCAAGTTATGGCCTGTAATCCAGTGGTTGTCATTGCTGACTGCCATAATTGTTTTTAATTAATTGTTTTTAGCATAATTCAGGTTGTTGGTTTTCTCTTTTGAATTATTTGTTTTGGTCTCTGGTCGATAGTTGCCTCATTGGCAATCATGCCACCTTTCACTATTTTTATATTTCTAATTTTTCAGAGTTGATTGTCATTGTGTTATTTAAAAATAGTGATTTCATTTTTATATCTCTTTCATTGAAACTTGTAGTAAGGCTGAGCCAGTCTTGGTCACAAATCATTTTGTCTAATTTTAATGCAAATGTTTGAAAAGAGTCAAGGTCTATAAACTGTTTATTTTGTAAACTTGAATATGTATCCCATTATCACCTCTCTTTCTCTCTCTCTCTCTATATATATATATATATATATATATGTGTGTGTTGACCTTAAACAAGTGTGAACAAACAAAAAAGAGTTGGGTATACATCTATAACCCTTGAACACAATAAAACCTGAAAAACATACAGTCTTCAGCAATAGATAAGTGTTTATACAATCTGTCAAGGTCTAAGTCATCTCCAGTCTAGACAAATTTTAAGAGATCTGCCATCAATACTAAAAAAAATCTATATAACTGAAGAAAATCACTGATAAGGTTCCCGACTTGGAACAGTCACATTAACATCTGGGGGATGCATGAAGCTAGTTTTATGAGTAGGCAACCCTCCATTATTTTTTATCTCGATCAATGCTTTTCAAGGAAGCTCACATTTTTTAAGGCAACCTAAAAGTACTTAATCACCTCATATACAAATCAAACATTCTTACAATGTAATTATTATGGTTGTACTTCTGACCAAATTTCATACTTCCTTTTTTGCCTTTTACACAAAATTTCAATACAATAAAGAGAATAAATGAACATTTTGGTTATTTTTCAAACTGAAAATAAACAAATTGATGTTGATTTCAATAAATGCAAACCAATGATTTACCACAACAACTATAACATATGTGTCATGGAGTGTTAAGGTTGCTTGGATTCAGATATTGTGTTGTAACATCAAATTAGAAAAAAAAATAATTTTGTATGAATTAAATCTGCAAAAACTGTTGAATCCAGAATATGATTGACATTGTATATTTCTAGTCCAGAAATTTTACTGTATTATAAACTTCAAATATACTCATTCATTATTTTCTTGTAGATTAACACTATAACAGAAAATTTAGATTTAGCAGACAACTACTTAGAATCTGAAGGTGCTAAATATGTATCTCGAATGCTGAAAGACAACATGTTTATTGTCACATTAGTAAGTATTTTGTGTTCTACATTTGATCTTTTCATATTATTTTGTTTTGAAAGTCTTTTAATTTAAACTTTCATGTAAAAGGTTATATGGCTTTTAATGTCACAATACTGCACTTGTAAATGAAAAAACTTTAATGGGAAGCTCTCATAGAAAAAGAATACAATTTCTCACCCTGATATCCCTTTCTTTTCATTCAAATATTTTCATTGGACTGATTTATTCCTATACTCTCTTGACTGGTTTAAACTGAAAAATAATACAAATTTGCTTTTTGTTGAATTTGTTTTAGGAAATGATTAAATTAAAACTGAGTGATTTACTGACCTTTCTTCATACCTTCATGTTTGAATGGATTTTTTTCAGGATATTTCCAATAATTTCATTCAGAGATCAGGAGTAGCAGCTTTAGGAGACATGTTAGAATACAATACAACACTCAAAACTTTAGCTATAGCAGGTAAACTATATCATTAGGTAAACAAGAGTATTCGAGTATTGGAAAATTGAGATCGTCTCTTTTTTCATAGATTTTGTTTTTAAACTGGCGCTCGTTTTCAATTTTTAGTAATGATATGTAACAAAGCTATCTGTTGTATCTATTATTTCAAGTTTAGTGGGATAGATGTCACTGAATTGTGACAATGCACTATATCAGAAGTGTATAGTGAAAAATTAGTGGTAGCTTCATTTTATTCCACTCAAGAAGCTCCTGTATGAATTATGCCACATACAACTTAACACGCGGGTATGACATTTTGGTTTTTGATAATTCACCAATATCTGTTGTTTTGCAGATTTCTGTTGATGTCAATTATATATTATAATGTATAAGCACATTGAAAATGAAAAAAAGAATAATTAAAGTAAAGTTTGAATTTTGATTACTGTGATTTTAATTTTTTGGACAGGAAACCAGTTAACAGATGTGGATGCCTGGCACTTGGTTGAAGCTTTGAAAACGAATACATCACTGACATCTTTAGATCTTAGTAATAATAATTTTGGAGAATTGGGTGGAATTTATCTTGGAGGGGCACTTGTAAGTACACAAATAGTTATTCTTAGTGAAAGAGAACTATCATTGAATATAAGTCTTTGTCCAACTAGGAACAACAAATAAAGATTGTCCATATCTGTGTATTCCTTACAAACATTTGTTTATGATTGCTGGTATCTGACTCAGAAATTATAAAGTGACAATAGTTATTCTCCTTACTTGTGTACCAGTTTGCTGTAATGGTGAAGAGCAGAACGGAAAACTAGATTGTTTTTATTTTGGTACAAACTCATTTTTTGCTTTATGGACATGGTCTTAAACTTGCAGTGAAGTAAGAGTTATTTTGTTTTTTTTTGCTCCGTGTTGAAGACCTCACTGTGACTTCGAGATGAAGAACAGCAATAAAAGCTCTGTTCCTTTGCTTTTTGTGTAATTTTTGCTGTGCATGTCCTGATTTTGTGTCATGGATGGATACTCCATATCCTTTGTTTTTCTGTTATGATGTATGATTCTGTCTTGATAGATAAATTTTGTAGATTATATCTTATATTTCAGGCATTGAATGAAGGCTTATTAGATTTAGATCTTAGTTGGAATTCACTACGCAATAAAGGTGCTGAAACTATTGCAAATGCATTAATTGTAAGTAAATTTTGGTTTGATTTATTACTGTACTTACCATACAATTTGTTTTCATTTTTTCCCATTGCATTAGATAGATATAAATATTTGTTCACCTAAAGAAAGACATGTTTTCCTGAAGGCATTAACAACATTTTTTATACAGGAAGGGAGGCTGTGCAGCTCTTATTTTCATTTTTGGCTAATAGAATATCAGTTTTTTGTTGAGCCTGCAAAATTTATTTCACGAAATCAAAACATAGCGATGTCGGTGTCGTCAACATTTAGGTTCAGTCTGTGGTTAAAGTTTTTTTAGACATCAATAACTTTGTCAAACCTACATGGAAATTTATGAAATTTGGACAGAAGCTTGTTTATGACCAAAATATAGTATCCAAAGCAAAAATTTGAAAATTTCCGTATTTTACTAATAAATGGACTTAGTTTTTTTTACAGTTAACATTCAGATTTAGTGTAAGGTTAAAGTTTTTCAGTCATAAATAATTTTGTCAAACCTTCATGGAATTTTATGAAATTTGGACAGAAGCTTGTTTATGACCAAAAGACAGTATCCAGAGCGGATTTTTGAAAATATTTTGTTTTTCATTTTTCCGTATTTCATTGGATTTACCGGTAGTTTTTTTTTACAGTTAACATTCAGATATAGTCTGAGGTTAAAGATTTTTTAGACATCAATAACTTTGTCAAACCTACATGGAATTTATGAAATTTGGACAGAAGCTTTTTTATGACCAAAAGACAGTATCAAGAGCAAAATTTAGAAAATATTTATTTTCATATTTCCGTATTTTACTTATAAATGGACTGAGTTTTTGTACAGTTAACAAGTAGATACAGTCTGGGGTTAAAGTTTGTTACACATCAATTACTTTGTCAAACCTTCATAGAGATGTATGAAACTTTGGCAGAAGCTTTTTAATGATTAAGAGATAATGTCTGAAACAAACCTTTGAAAATATTTTTTTATTCATTTTTAGTATTTTTCTGATAGATGGACTTTGTATTTTACTGTTAACATTTACAGACACTATGGGATTAAATTTGTAAACCTTTATGGATTATTATGAAACTTTGACAGAAGCTTATTTTCAAGACTAAGAAATAGCATCTAAAGAAAAAGTTTTATTTTTTTTAAAATTCTGTATTTTACTGATAAATGGACTCACTTTTTAAGTCAATATTACACTTTTACACTGACAGCAGCAATTGCAGGCAAGATACAGGGTTCTGTGGAACCCCTTACAAATTTTATCAATATCAGTTGTCAATAACAGCTTCTCATTTTTATACGCCTGTTCACAGGACGTATTGTGGTATTCCGTCTGTCTGTCCCTCTGTCCGTCCATCCTTCTGTCGTCAACATGTTGGACATTAACTCCAAAACACTTTAGCAAATTTTCTTGAAACTTTGGTGAATTGTTTATATCTATTGATGTAAGCTCCCTTTCGATTTTTAGAAATTTTAGATTTTATGTGTCTGAGTTATGGTATTTTATTCATGAAAAAGGAGGGATTTTCTTGTTTTTGGACAATAACTCAAAAATGCTTTGAGCAGTTTTCATGAAACATTGGTGACTGATTTATATCTATTAAGATTAGCTCCCCTTATTTTTTTTTATAAATTTCTGATATGATATTGAGGAGTTATGGAACTTTATTCATTGAAAAAACGACGTCCATATCATGCGCTTATGGCACAGCTCTTTATTGTAACATATAAACATCCAAACAAAAATAAGGAGCAATAGTGAAGAACTAATTTTGATTAGATTGGGTTTTTTTATCTTTTGTAAAAACAAATACTTTTTCATTTTTAGACTACACATGTTCTCAATTGAAGTCTCACAAAAAGCTGTATAAGATAATGCTTAAAAGTGAATTATAAGTAATAACAAATATGTTGAAAACTTTACCTGGGTTTTAGAGTTAAGATCCAACAAGGAATTGATAAACATGATAATGGAATAAATTTTAGCTGAAGGTATTATTTATTATTAGCTTAGTATTAATGCTTATGGGATCATCATAAATACTAAGCTTGGACAGGGGCTTCTTCATGATCAATAGTTAAAACATCAAAGTACACAAAACTTTTAACTTTCTTTCAAAAATTGAGTCGCAGTGTGTGTGATGGCTTTATAAATATTTTACAATATCAACAATGATACAGTAACCATCTTCATTTGCAATCATGTTTTATCTGTTGTTGAATTGGTTCATTGCCTAATGCATGAAATTCTTTTGAAAATAAAATAATTGCTACTGAGTGTTAAACAAGCAAGACTTTTTATCATTTTTTTTCGCCTTGAGGGCGTCAAAAAGTGAGACATGGGTATGCTGTTTCTGGCTTTGGCGGCGTCAACAATGCATTAGTTTGTGATTAGGTCAGTTTATGGGGAACCAGTTGTGGTAGGTCAATGATATCTGGTATGAAGTTGTATTAGCATTGGCACATTTCATTTCCATGGAGATTATTTTGCCCTGCCCCCTCAGTCATGGTCTATTGACTTTGAAAATTTTACTTAGTTTACATGTATTAGTATGAGATTAGGTCAGTTTATAGAAAACCACTAGTGGTAGGTCAGTGATATTTGGTATGCATTTGTATAAGGGTTGGCACATCTCTTTTCCATGGAGATTATTTGGCTGGCCTCCTCCATCATGATCTATTGACTTAGAAAATTTTGCTTAGTTTACATGTATTAGTTTGTGATTAGGTCAGTTTATGGGGAACCACTAGTGGTAGGTCAATGGAATTTGGTATGCAGTTGTATAATCATAGGCACATCCCATATCCATGGAGATTATTTGGCCCCGCCCCCTCAGTCATGGTCTATTAACTTTGAAACTTTTGCTTAGTTTACATGTATAAGTTTGTGATTAGGAGAACCACTAGTGGTAGGTCAATGATATTTGGTATGCAGTTTCATTAGCATTGGCACATCTCATTTTCAAAGTGATTTTTTGGCGCTTTACCTTCAATCATGGTTCATTGACTTTGAATATTTTGCATAACTTACATGTTAAAGTATTGCTATTTTAATTTTAACTTTTGCATTTTACTATCAAAATAACAAAAAGGCGAGACATATCTCTATGTTAAGAGTTTATTAATCATGGACTAAAACTTGTGTCAATTGGTTATTCACTATGACAATTAACCAGTTTTAACAATCAGTTATAAAATCGTTTACATATTTAACTGCAATAATTCATATCTTTAATCAATCTTAATTTTGTTGGATATTAGATTGACAAACAGTCTTCATATCATACTTTTCCCATTAAAGGAAAGACATAGACATCTATTACTAAGGAATTATTTTGGGGCTGGTTTTTAGGTTTCCATATTTTATATATTGATTGATATTTCATATCATTTTGCCTTGTGAATATCTTCTTGTGATTTTTATATTATAGGTAGTTGTTAAATATTGTTAGAGATTCTTTTTATAATTTTCATTCAGTGAAAAGACCTAAAATTTCTAAATTTAAATACTGTAATTCCTAAAACTATAATCATGCATCATAAGTTGGAAGTTATTAGTAACAACAGTTATTTGGGGCATTAGCACCTATAGACTAGTTACACCTTTATGAAAGAAATAACAAATGTTAAAAATATTTTTTCATCTTTAAAGGAGCATTAGCTGTCAAATTCATGTTCACTGATTTTACTCAAAATTTTCATATTTGATTTATAACATACTAAAACGTATATCCAAATTTCAAAAAGTCTGAAATAAACAATTAACAATGCATAGACTCGATAATATATATCAGCATTTTGTGTGTATTTTAGTCTAGACACCATCTAATTAACCATCAAGGTGACCTCTGAAGACTGCCGACGGTCACATAACCCGATTTAAACATAAACATAAATATGAATAGATAGCGACCTCATGCAATTGGACTTTTTTCTAGGTCTGTTTGATTTCATGTTATAGATTAAAAAAATAATTTAATCATCGTTTTTACCTGTATAAGAATGATTTTTTGTGGATCGAGTCAGTCAACAAAATGGTTCACCTTTGTTTGACTTTCGATGTTGACATTCTTTTCCTTTTAATGGCTGAACACGACTAATACATGGCGTAACCAATCTCTAGCTAATGGGTTTAATTGAAGGTCACATGAATACAGGTTCAATGAGGTCGAATTATTCACTTGCAAGTGAATAATTCATCAGTGATGTTTCTTAGCTTATTTTTAAAAAATTGAACTAAACTGGCTGCTAAAAGCAGATTAGTATTTCACTATTTTACTTTCATAAATGATTGAACAAAAAAAAAATCATGTTTTAATTTTTTTAATACCTCGTAGCTAATGCCCCTTTAATAGAATTTTTTGTTATTATATGTTAACAAGCTTTAACCTATCTTCATGTTTATCTGCCTCTCCCAAGTTTGGAATTTTGTCAGTGGTTATCTTATGTTCTATCTAAATTAATTGTTATTTGGAGAATTTTGTGTTGATTTGAGAGCTTTGATAGTTTCTGTTGAATTTATTCTCTACTTTTTAATCTAAAACAATTCAAATCTTGACATATTGGAAGCTGAAGTCAACTTACTTAGTTCTAGATGTTTTTTGGTTAATTGTTTTGTTGTTGCTATCTTAATGATATATACACCACAATTCATATATACATGTACTATTTGAAATTACTGTTAGATCTCATGAATAATTTGTTAATTAATTTCCAGAAAAATGAAACTTTAGAAGTATTGGATGTATCCTGGAATGGTTTTGGTGAGAGGGGTATGAAAGAAATGCAGAATTCTTTGAAGACCAATAAGAAACTTAGAGTTCTTGATCTCAGGTAAATGATCAACTTACAGTGCTTGATCTCAGGCAAATGATCAACTTAGAGTGCTTGATCTCAGGTAAATAAAATAGAGTTCTTGATCTTAAGTAAATAAGAAACTTAGATTGCTTCATCTCAGGTAAATGATCAATTAATCCACATCACTTTGAAACAGCCCCCCCCCCCCTTTTTCCTCCCCCTGTGTATATGTATAGTGTGTATGTGTATATATGCTGTTGGAATCTATACCAGTCTCAGATCAGATGCATGTCAATGTCTAACTCTGATCGGAATCCAGTCAGGAAACCTGTGAATCCAGATGGTTACTAGTGTAAAACAAAGACATGTTTGGGAAAAGAACCACAGTTTAATGCTTAAATTTCATATTAATAAAACACAAACAACAGTACAGTTTGAAAACAATACACAAATTAATTAATTAATAATCTGTGGTATTCCACTCAAGGGAATATTACATTTTATAATATGAAACCAAAACTGTGTGTTCTTGTAATATAATCTACTCTACTCATTTATAAAATATACAGTTAAATTAAATCAATAATATTTCTATAATCAGTTGATGAAGCAACCTAAATATCTCTATAAAAATAAAAAATAAAATAGGGTGGGTGAGGATGGGATTTTAAATTCACTAATGCCAAATTGCAATGCATCTGCTTCATGCAGTTGTATTATCTAGAATGCCTAAATGAGGCGCGCAGTAATTAAAACAAAAGGATGATAATTAATTAATTATCTCTGCCGATTGGATGATTTGAAATAAGGGCCTAGTTCTGATTGGTTCCCTTCCCACATCTCACAAAGCAATTAGAGAGCGAGATGCCAAGAGTGGCCAGTAGGGAATTCCTTATATCATTGGTTGTTATTAATAGATATAAGCTGAACTAAAATACCCAATCGGCAATAAAGGACAGGTAATGCATGTGCGATGATACATGTCAACATGCTGTGTATTAATAATCCATTTTTCTTGTTAATAAAAATATCACACTTAGAGTGCTTGATCTCAGGCAAATGATCAACTTAAGTGCTTGATTTCAGGTAAATAAGAAAAGTGGAGTGCTTGAACTCAGGTACATTAGAATCTTAGCTTCCTTGATTTCAGGTTAACTCAGAGTGCTTGATCTCAGGTAAATAAAAAAAAACTCAGATTGCTTGATCTCAGATTAATAAGAAACTGAGAGTGCTTGATCTCATGTAAATAAGAAACTTATATAGAGTGCTTGATCTCAGGTAAGTACAGTAACTAAGAGTGCTTGGTCTCAGGAAAACATTTAAGCAATGGTGTTTCGTCTGATTTGATTTACAAAATTGATTACTTTGTATAAAGAGAGTCAAAATGTTTATAAAATAAAGGAAGATAATATGAAAAATTAAAGATGTAGACTAGAATAGCTGTGAATGAAACAAATTATAAGACAATGTCATAAGAATATTACTTCATGTCTATGATTTTTGTTTGTAGTAATAACAGAATCAACAAGAAAGCTGCCAGTTTGCTCAGTAATGGTATCAAACAAAATACAGGGTTAGAATCATTGATAGTAAGTTATTTTAGGTCATTACAGAAAACAGAACGACTGTGTTTGTATGTCTGATTATTGTTTAAACAGATATTTTATGTGATACCTAAAAAAAAAAAACCAGTTACTACTAATTTTTCACTTGAAAGTCAATGCATTAGAGACATAATCTATTTATCATACACAGCAAGTATATAGCAGATAAAACAAAACTTTCTTGAAAATCATCACATACCATAAATATTGGAACTTTTAATTCTTATCTATTCCATATGTTGCACAAATTGTGTTGAAAATTAAACTTTACTCTAAAATTGATCATAATGTCCTTGATTTGTATTTTCAGTTAAATTTAAATCCAATGGGAGACGAGGGAATGGAGAATATCATAAACATGGTCAAACTCCAGCCAACACTGACCTACATATCTCTAGAGGTAATGTCACTGCTTACCAACGCAATACACTGGTCACTGATCAGACCTTTAGTTGACAGAAAAAATGCTTGTATTAAAAAAAATGGTCATTTTCATTCATTGGGAAAAGGGAGATAATTCAAAAATTATACAAAATTATTAAGCTAAAATAAATGCTATGTAATCAAAACCTGTACAGGTGTTAACTTACATGATGGTTACTTAGCTGAAAAAAAATCTTACTTTATCATTCAGTGACATAAGGATTAATGTTAATTTAGTTAAATGTAATGCACAACAAGTAAAATTTAAAGCGAGGTCAATATCAGAAAAATTGCATAAATCAGTAATTGCATATTTTTGCCATAGTCAATGCAAGACTAATTTTACTATAAATTTTGTTAAAAATGACCAAAAAAAGGCTGCTTTATTTCAAAATTTATGTTGCATTTTTATAATGCTTTTAAGATTTACATGCTTATCCCTTTATATAGTACAGTATGTGTCAGATGCCAGTCAATAATTATACACTGTTGTCTATCTTGTTCTTAATTTGGTAAGCTTTTTATGATGATATTCTGAAAGAACTTGGCTTCTGTCATCCGTTATCTATTGTTCATGACTTTAAAAAAAAAGAATTTAAGGGAAAGAAACAAGTAATTGTTTTATATCTTGAAAACCAAAATAGATACGAAAATCTTACATGGTGAAAATGTTCGGAATGTTAAGATCTATTTCCTTTTCATATTTACAAACTTATAAGATAGCTACTGATAGGAGTTACTGCCCTTAAATGTTAATTTTTGACAATTGTTCCTAGTATATGATAGATAGACATATACTGTAACCAACAGAAATGATAAGCAAAGTACTATCTTCAGAACTGTCAGTATGTCTGAAACCATCAATTTGTTTCATATAAGAGTTATTGCCTTTAAATGACAATTTTTGACCAATTAAAGAATTTTTGCTTATTGTCTTGAAAACTCTTATAGAAAAAGACTTAAATACCAATATGACTGAAACAATCAATTGAACTATATTTTTATGACCGCTTAGGGGAGGATCATTTGATTTGGAGGAGGGGAGGGGCTTGAATGGACACTTTTTTACATATTTTTCTAGATTCAAGCTCCTTGGAGCAACTAGTTTCATGAACAAAAAATTTTGGGACCATTTTATGTAAATAAATCATGATAAATTTTTCAATCAAAGGGAAATTCCGTCACTGATAACCATTTAGTGTAATGATAATAGTTAATTTTACCTGAATACTTGATGGCATTGAATTGCAAATAATTTTATGTAGCCTTACTGTATGTCAAAAGAAGACTGAGTTTGTAAAATTACTGACTTGCATGTACAAATACTGTATTTAATTCATACCTATTTAATGTAGATGATAGAATTTTTTCATATTTTGAAATAATGTAGTTTTTATCATGCTTTTTATTGAACCAATAAATTTTTTATGTCACCTTCTTGTATTTTAACCTACACAATTTAAATATATTATGTAGGGGGAAACCATGTAATCATTGAACAACAAATCAGTTTATAAAAATTTGAAATGAATTTGTGAAGACATGTTAGAATTAATTTTTAAAGGGAATTAAAAGTAAAATGGGATTCACCATTTTTATTTTGATGCTATTGAAGGTATATCAATCTTACAACCTACTGTTTTTATATCGAAAAGAGAGAACCTCAATTTCCATAATTCATCTGAGTTACTTTCTTTACTCAAATCAACATTAAAATTTTATTGAAAATCAAAAACTTCCTGTTTTTGTTGAAAGCATTATTTCATAAGATAAGATATTTGAGTATTATTATTTTTATGAAAGTAAATACCAACAAATTAAAAGTTACGGTTTGCATATTTAAAAAAAATCTCTAGAGAGTACACACCATGATTTGCAATTGTTGACAATACCCATTGTTTATGTATGATGAAAAAGTACCATCCTACCTAAAGACATATTTTTTCATGTAAATTAAGTTGCCGTAGATATAATACACAAATTCACAGTTCATTATTCTTTTAACACTAACAACCAAAAGGGCACAACATTTTTTACCAAGGAGAGAACAACATCTTTTTTTAATTAATTTCTGTTCATGAAAAATGATAATATATAAAGGTTTCAATTTTTTAATTGCCTGCTTTCAGAATTGTGGGGTAAGTATTTATTGGCCAGGTTGTTCAGTTACAGAACAGCTTCATCACTTCATAGCATGATTTGTGTCATGGAGGATCTCTGGTGAAGAGAATTCTGGGAAATTTATTATAACTTCTTCTATCTTCCATTTTATCTGTATGATTTTTTCTTTATTAGTTTTCAAAAATTAAGTATAAAGCAGAACAATAGTTGGTATAGATAATTCAGCAGTCACTAAATTTTGTTAGCTGATAGTTTTAATAAAATTCCATCTAATAACTTCTTTTTTGGTACCTGTTAAATAAATAAGTTTCATTATCCTTTACTGCACCAATAGTAGGATCTGGATAAAAAAAATAGTTTAATATGTTTCTTTGAAGAATCTCTGTATCTAAAATGAAAAGGTTACAATTGCAAATTCCATAGGAATTGATTATGCTGAAGGTTGAATGTAATTGCCAATTAAATAGCCCCTAGCAGTACAACTTGAATTGACAAACAGAAAATAACGTTAAATTCCATCAATAATCATTGCATATAGTTCAATATTAGAACACTGTCAGTGGTTTTGCTGAAGTATGTTCACCTAGAGTGCAGGATGTTGTGGAATCAATTACAGAGCAGATTAAAACCAAAGACTTTCAAATTTGTATTTACTGCTTTTTCACTGCTTCTCAGCCAGACACAAGGCATTTTGGAGTAAGAGCAAGAACTGGTGAGCCTTAGGTCATAATAAAGTGTCCAGGAAAGTTAACATGTTTTACCTTTTGATTGTTACTTTGTGAGCTAGCACAGTAAAAAGTTGATTCAATGTGTCTCTCTAAGAAAAAAACAGGGTATTACCATGTGCTGTTATGTTACAATCCTGCATAGTCATGTAATAGTTCCATTCTCTATTCTAATATTTGCTGCTGGAAATTTAGCGTCCAACAGCTAGTCAAGCAATATTAGGAGGGGATAAATATTTCTAAATCTGATGTCAATAGATAGCATACAGGGAATATATCCTTTGAATCATCAAGGTTATATTCAGTAAATCATTAAAGTCCTATTGTTACAATAAAACTATTATCATCAGATAGATAAAAGAAAATGTTATAATCACAATGTCCTGCCATTTAACTTCATTTGCAATGCAAAAATGATTAAATTACAAATTATGTGTAGTAATACAAAAGCCTACTCTAATTCCCTATATACTCTAAATACTATATGCATTTAATGTTGCAAATTTTTGATAACTAACAATGATGGGAGATCAGTTTATCAAATCCTGTACATATATTGAAGTACCTGTAGTATAGAACTAGCAAAAATTAAAACATAACATGAATTATATATAAATGTATATATATTGAAATCTTATTTGGTCAAAATCCAATTGTTTAAGTACATTATATAAGTGGAATGGGAAATACAATCTTCACCATAGATCATTACATCTGTTCATTTGGTCTGCATGTTATATGCATGATATGTAGATTGGGTTTTAGAACCTTAGAAGTGTTAAGATATATGTCATTGTAATTATGTTGTAAAATTTATGTATATTAGTTGTGTTGTATTGGCTAACTCTCAAACCATGTTCAATCTGACTAAAGGTGACCAAGCAGGGACACTGGTCATCTTCCAAGCATAAACATTGCCAAGTTGACAAATGAGTGTTCACAATTCAGATCTTGACATTTTGTATAAACACTAGTCTATTTTTGGAGACAGTATTTTGACATCTAGATATCTTTCTATTATTTGTGTTGTTGGATTACTGTCTCATTGGGATATACCCTACATCTCTTTTTATTCACATACATATACATTGTACTATGTTTGAAGACTTAATATGTTGGCTAGTTTATATAGCTGATATTGTTGTGTTTCATATAGTATCTATAACATATTTTGCTCTCAAAGATATTCATGTTAATCAGATAGAAGAAATAAAAGAATAAATATAATGGCATGTATCATAGGAAAAAAAAGAAAATTGCATTATGCCATGTTGCAATGATTGAGGTATATTAATGCATGGTGTGGTTTGTCATACTATTCAGCCATATATAAGCCAATTTTAGGTAAAAGGATAAACATCTTGTCATATGTTCTGTTGAAAATCACATTCACTTAATTGTCTCTGTAAAAAAACTATAATGAAACTAAAATGCATCCTCAATCTTACTTTGAAAGAGAAGAAAAAAAATTCTATACATATCTGTATTTGAATCCTTTTTTATAAGTAATATGTCTTCCTAAAACCAAGAATTCTAGAGAAATTTGTTTGTAAATAAGATTGATACAGATTTTTATTATTTTGACAAAATATGTTTTTGTGATGGAGATCAATTTTTGAAAGCAATACATCATTTGAATAAATTAACCTTGGAGGATGAAGGTGAAAAAATTGTGAAAAAAATATATTATTTGTTTTTTTATCATTTGGGTTCTTGTAAAGTGGCTTTGCCTACCCCTGAATTTACCACTGACTGTGGAATAAAATTACACACAGACTTAAACACATGAATTTCTAAATGAAATTTTTATTTTGTTTTGTAAATTTGATATTGTTAAAAAATATTTTAGGGTTAAGTGTTGTTTTTAAAAATATTTTAGGGTTAAGTCTTGATGTAATACTTATATAAGTATAGTCTCAGTCAATAGAATAGTTAAGTCTTACTCAGCTTTCAGGACCATATGCATATTAAGCAAAATGAAATATAATTATTGTAGAAAGATTGAATATTGGTACATCAATAACATGTCATTTGATAAGTAGTAAAACCTTTTGTTGTAGGAAATGAACTTGTCTCCTGCCAACTACCACAGAATTTTAGATCTTCAGAGTGAGAGAGATATCAGTATATTACACGGTGGATCTGGGGGATATCAGCGATATACAGTAAGTAGGAGAGATGTATAATTAAATTGTATGATTTGTTTTGGGATTTCATAGTTGTTCTGTAATTTAAGAGAATATTTTTTTTACCAGGGGGGTCACAGGGATTTTAAAGATATACAAGCTAAGTATAGAAATATTAGTTTATTACATGTAGGGTTAGGAAGAATATCTGCAATTAACAGTAAGTAGTAGAGAGATACCAGTATATTACATGATTAGTTAAGGGATATCAGAGATATACAGTAAGTAGAAGAGAGATATCAGTATATTGTATGTTTAATTAAGGGAAAGAAAAGATATACAGTAATTTAGTAGAGAGACATCAGTATATTACATGTTTAATTATGGGATATCAGAAATGTACAGGAAGTAGTAGAGAGATATAAGCATATTACATGTTTAATTAAGGGATATCAGAGATATACAGTAAGAAGTAAAAAGATTTCAGTGATTTTGTGGTGGGTCTCAACTCCCAAGGATATCAGTAAGTAAGAAAAGGATTTAGTTAACAAAAAAATGTTAGTTCATGCAAATACCAGAGATATTCATTAAGTAGGAGAGCTATAAGTGTAACTATGATATCAGAAATAAGAAATTATGACGGGATAGATATCAGTATATTAAATGATGGGTTGAATTGTTATCAGAGAAAAATAGTATACTATTAAAGTAGGAGAGTGATCAATATGTTGCTTGGTATTTAAGAGTAATCTCACCCCTTCCATTCTCAATTTTATCAGTATAGGAGAGATATGATCAGATTTACTAGTAAGATGTACAGTTTGTTCAAGAGAATATCAAAACCTTACATTATTCTTAGGTAACTGTACCAATTGAAAATTATGATGATATAAGAAGATATCTAGAATGCTGGATGTTACTGAAAAATGACCAGTTTGACTTACATTCTATGTATATAGACTGATATGTTGATATGTTGTTTTTAAAGTTAACATTGCAATTATTTATGTTTTACTATAGTCTCAGACTAGTATGATACCATTACATGAAATTGTGTTATGATTTTAGTCTCAAACCAGTGTGATGCGGCTATTTACAAAGTTCTTAAGAGAACACAGACCTGAAATAGAGACAGCTTTCCTACAACAGGATAAAGATCACAGTGGTAACCTTTCTAGTGAGGATCTAAAGATGGCACTGAAAACTGCAGGATTACGTCTAACAAATGTAGGTTCACTGTTTTTCATTATAAGAAGGAAATCAATTCTGACAAAATTTGCAACTACCAAGAGGCAATTTAGCTGTTTCAAAAACTGGTTTTATTAAGTAAAGATATTTAAGGGTTGGATCTGATGGAAATTTATCTACTAAATCAGTGAGAGTTATATTTAGTCATGAACGTATGTAACATAAAATAATGTCCTCCATGAACTATTGTCTGTCAGACAAAATTTCATATAAAATATTGTCCCTGGACACTGTTATGAAATAGTGTCCTTGTCCAGGAAAATTTGTCACCTCCTTCTGAACAAACTTTCACTATGGAATCCTGTCCTTGACAACATTTCACTGTGAAATTCTGTCCATGACAACATTTCACTGTGAAATTCTGTCCATAAAAATATTTCTTAATCTTATAATGACTTCCCTGAGAAATCCCCTGTCATGAAATTGTGATCATTTCTGGAATTTTTAAAATTGTTTTCCATAAAATAGTATTTGTTTAACCATAAATTGCTGCATTAATTAATTATGCAGATTTGTTTGTAACTATCAATCAAATAGAACACTTTAATGATACCATTATCCAAAATACTAAATATTTATAACCTCACTTTCATGAGACAAAATTTCATGACATTCCATCTATGAAATATTGTCTCAATATACAAAAAAAAAAACCTTGGATAACCTCCCTTTAACAAGACAAAATTTCATAATATCCATCTATGAAATATTGTCTGTATATAGACTAAATTTCATATGGAAATTTGTCCTTTTCGGACATTATTTCACAGATGGGGACAAAATTTCATGATACAAAGTCATGAAATATTGTCTTTGGAGACAATATTTCATAGGAAAATATTTTACTTTACACTTATATCTTGAGGAAAAAGAGATAAATTTTCTTTCACTTAATTATTTATCCAGTGTAGAATATTGTTTTAAAACAACACATGATTTCAGTTTCAGTATTTCTTAAAATCAGGTTTTTGGTGTATCCCTGTCGATAAACTCCATTTTAACTTTCATTAGGCAATAAAATATCAGGTTAGTGGTTTATCGTTATGGATAAACTCCACTAAAATGTGCAGTTGCTAATATCTATGTCATTTGATATCTGGAGGATAGTTGATTTATTGGCAATTATACCACATCTCTTAATTTTATATTAGACAATGAAGTTAGGATATTGGTGTAATATTATAGATAAACTCCAGCAAAATGTATATTAGGTATCCACTAAAAAGTACATTAGTGAATAAATACAATTTATTGGTGTGTCATTATGGATTAACTCCACCAAAATGGACAATAGATTAAGAGCATTGGTATTAAATAATTGGCAGTACATGTGTGGCAATACAATCAGGCAATTGCAGGGTTTCCCCTGGGTCAATTATTTTTTTGCCACCTCTCTCGCCAAAACAATATATTTTTCGCCACTGTATTGTTTTTTTTCGCTAAGAAACATAAATATATGTTTCAATCAAATTTTTCCTTCTTTCGACCCCCCCCCCCCCCCCAAAAAAAAAAAATAATATAAAATGAGTTTGCCCTATTGTTGTCTATGATTATTCTCTTAAACTTATATTTTAGTCTATATTGTAATGAATAAACACTGAAAGTTTACTTTTAAAAATAAAACTTTGCTTTTTTTAACTTAAAGGGGGGAAAATACATTATATTCGGAACAACTTTCCTAAAAGAGGGGTCCACTTACTTTTGATAATAAAGAAGATTTAAGTCCAGGTATTGTCATTGTCAATGAAAAAGTGGAGACGTAAAACTATGCTTGAAACACGTGCGTCGCCAAAACGACTTTAAAGTACCCTCTCAAATCAATTATCTATATCAAAGTCAAAGGATAAAGTCGGAGATTTTTCTTGCTTTTGAACATTTTTCGTCATAACAATAGATGGTCCTTTCCAGACCATCGTTAATAAAATAAGGAGAGGAGACGTATAAAGTTTGCTTCAAACACGTGCGTCGCAAAGTGGTTAATAAATCCTTTATGTGACATGTGCAGACGCCATTTAACCATATCATCTTGCCAAACAATACAATCAACACCTTTATTAATTAGTCCTTTGTTGCCTACATCTATAAAATGCAATCAGCTGATAATTGATTTTCTGTCAAAATCTTAATGAGTTCAAGGTGAATTCCGAGTATTGTCAGGTAAAGGCAGGTAAAGTCCCAGGAAACCCGAAACAAAATAAATAAACAAGATGGAAGAAAATTAAATCGTTTTATATATTTCTTTCGCCAAATTCTTTCGCAAATGATGAATTTTAATCGCCACAATTATTATTTTTTTCGCAAAATGCGAAAATGGCGACCACCAGCGGAAACCCTGGGCAATTGGAACATTGTGGATAGATCTACCAAATTGTAAATTCATTTTGAAAACAATTAGGCATATCATTATTGAAAATTTCTTCAAGAATATATATATTAACTGGCAACAATTAATGTTGTGATAAAATTCCACCAATTTAGAAATTATACATTGATTGATGTAGTTGATGTGTCATCGTGATAAAATTCCATCAAACTGGACATTTGATTCAGTAGTAAATGAAATTGTATGATTCATACATTCTCTTTCATTTAATTCTATTGCTGAATAAAATCTAGATTTTGATATCAAATTATATCATAAAGCTGAATTATGCTTTATTTTACAGAAACAGCTTGGTATTTTATTAGAAGACATTGATATGAACCATTCAGGAGAAATCAAATATAAAGACATCCTAAGTGGTACAGCATTGATAGGAAAGAGAAAGTCATCTCAAGTGTATACACTGGCAGGATTAGAAAGTAAAATACATGTCCTCAGCAATAGAGGAAAAGAAATTGGAGTCTCTTGATTGATTGTGAAATTCTTAGTCATAAATTAAATGAATCTCCTTAGCAACAAGCAGTAGCAGTATTAATTGGTTGTTGGGTTTTACTAACAGCTTTGGTTTATTTATTTGCTCATGCTCCATGTTTGAATAAAACATGTGAGATGAAAGGGGAGTTATTAGGGGTTCCAGCTTAATATTCATCAAATTTTACATGATTTTTAAAAAAGTAAGGATAAAACCCAGAACCCCCTATCTAGATCTACTGCCAAGGCCCTATTGGATGGATGAATCCTCTGTCAGAAGTCAATGTTTAGAAAATTGCTAAATACCCAATGTGCTTACTATTCTTTGGTCATACCTTCTGATGTTAAAGTATTTATCCTGTTAGTGTTTGCATTTACGAAAAGGGCCAGATAATTTCACAAAAGATATTTAATCTTTAAACAAAATTTTACAGTTAAAATTGTATAGTGCTTCTCATACAACAGCACATCTTATAGAAGTCAGTTTCAAGCATTTGCCTAGCACTGTTAAGGCTTTGTCTTGTCACACTATCTATTGCTATAATGCTTTACCCAAATGCAGTTGACTTCAAACTGATAAACAGGTAAAGCATTTCAGATCATTTTATAAGTAAAAAAGCTGTCCATATGACACTAATGCAGTGATTTAGAAAGTATTATTACCATCCAATTTCAGTGATTATCTGTCTGTCTGAGGAAAATTTGTCTTGTGTCCTCAATTTTTTTTTAGCATATTGTGTTACAATCTCTGTTATTCCGTCCTTCCATCCAACCTATGGTAATACCTAAATTCAACAGCTGTCTTGCCTTTTTTGTAATGCCTGTACATAGTGAGCTGATATTTGGTCTGTAGTTATATAATGGTGAGGTTACATATCAAATTTGGGTTTTCTTCATTGATGACCCATTTTTTCCCAGAATTACAGCCCTTGGATTAAATATTTGTTAATGAAAATTGTACTTGTCAACACTTTATTTTAAATTAAGTTAATTTTCTGCTTTATGATTTGTATGATGGTGAGGTACACATCCAATTAGAGAAGTGTTCAGTATTACAAATATTATACAGAATAATGTGTCTTTTGCTCCATGAAAAATGTACTTGTCTGGACTTTTTTCATTTGGCCTATTCCTTTATATGTATTGCAAGAAAAAGGTATGTTTAACCATTTTGCAGCAGGCAAGGGGATTTGTGTTGACCATACACAATTAACATTATTTGTTAAAAAAATGTATTCAAAAATTATGCAAATAAAATGTATTTGTTGAAATGTCCAAACATGGTTTTTATAGTTTGTAAGTTTTTTTTATAAGCTGCTATACACTAGTATTATTTTACATGCCTTTAACAATCCAGTATGCTATTTTTTAAATTAGATTTATTTTTTATAAATAGTGCCTATGTAAATACATTATGTCAATATGTAACCATTGACAACTATGCAAATAATTTGTTACAGTGTAATCTAGTCTGTGATACAAATGTTAGGCCAAATATTATCGATGAATTATTTAATAACACATGTGATAGATGTCATTCAGTTTTTGCCTTTTCAGGAAATAATTTGTAGAGAGGGTTTGAAGCACGAGGGGGAGGGGGGAGTCTTCCAATATGAAGGTATACTAAGATGTGCATTTGGAATTGGTCATTTTTTGATATCTCAAATATATCAACGGGTTGTTATTTCACTAAGGTAAACTGTCAATGGTCAGCTGCACCTCTGTACCAAAAATCCCATGTTGAGAACCCCCCCCTCCCGGGTTTGAAGGTACTTCAAATCAGTTTTATATAAAAGAAAATAAGCAAATTAGATTTATATCAATTCTTTCTGCCCTTACATTTGTTTCAGGAACTGCATTGTTTGTTTTTCAATATATGATTTGTCTTCCACTCACCAAGATGTTACATAGGGAGTTTAACCCTGACATATGTTAATGTCTGATCAGAAACAGGTACCTTTACAGTGCAGTTGTTAGTGTTTTTTGTCCACTTAAATATGGGATCATCAGTCTATGTTGAAATTATTCTTAACAGACCTAGTCTTGGTCTATTTAGGTCTTACCATGTGGTTGAAAACTATTCTGAATGCTTATGACCATATTATGACCTCCTGTTGGCTTACTTGATTATCAACATATTTGATGGTGTTTATCAGCTCTCTTATTGATATTTACATTACAACTTTTCTTCACATTTGTTGATTTAATAGTAATACATAGTAAAATGTGACTTTTAATGTTTTTATAAAGAACTGTCATCTGTAGAAAGGGGTATAAAGAGGTGTGGGTATGTGGTTCTAGCCTAATTTCTTTTGATTTTTTTGTGATTTTAAGAAAGATTTCCAAAATAAGAGCAAACTCACTCCTAGATTGACCCTCTCCCTCATCTGCCACTGTCTATGATATAAATTAGTAAATTTTCTATCTATTTTTAATACATATTATAATCAAGTAAATGAAAATATACATGCTACTTTCTGAAAGGAGAAGGTCCGGTAAGGGCTAGTTTTGGCCTAAAATTCGAACATCTGATGAAAGATTTTTGACATTTTTTAAATGCTTAAGTGTCTACTTCAGTCGATTCAATTAGTTTATGTAGAAGATTTGAACTGATTTGGTCATTAAAGACACTCAAATGCAAGCTTTAATATGAAAAATCTATCAAATATGCCATAAAACATCACTTTTCAGATGGTTTTTGTCTAAATGTAAGTGGCCGCATTTGTGTTCAGTCTCAACCTTTATATATGTTATATATTATCATCAAATGCAACATACATTTAAACATAAAGACTGAACACAATTGAGGCCACTTCCATTTTAGACAAAAACCGTGTTAAAATTAGCACAAATGCTAAAATTGTGAAGATTTCAGTAATTTTGCATGAATTTATGATGCTAGTACCTGATGCATGTCCATTGTATTGTCAAAAACAGCCCATATTTATGGAACACAAGTATTTTATTTTCCAATAAATATATGATTACCATGTTGTTTTAGGTTACAAGAAATATCCCTTTTTCATTTCTTTGTGTATTCAGGTCAATCATTTTAGTGAATAATGCAAGTAGGTGTTTTGAAAGTACACACTAATTAATATACTAAAACAAATGCACTGTGATTGACTCTAAAACTAGAAACTTATATTATGTAAACATACACAAACGAATTCAGAGTTGTGTAGAAAGATTCCAATGTTGATTCTTCTAAACTAAACCATGTTTCCTCATCTAGTTGTTTTTTTCTAAAAAAAAAATCCCTAAATATATTCAAAACCCTGTTCAATGTAATTTTATGGTAAGTTACTAACAGTATCATTTCATTATACATATTATTTTTTAGATAATTCATAGTATTAAAAACTCAGGTATCATGTATCATAGTTTTCTACACATGGTGTTAAGTGGTATTTATTTTCAATATGTAGTTTTTAACAGTTTTCATCAATTTGTTTGCATTTATCTACAAGCTATTGTCTCATGCGTATTTACTTGACCGATTGTAATGTATAACCTTAGAAAACTGATGTGAATTTCACTGCTTTTTGTTAAAGAAGTAATTAAATGTCCAAGTATTGTTATACTCATCAATGAAACACACAAAGTTTATACCCGTCTTTCTTTAATTGCAAAAAAAGTATTACATTATGAGTTGAGCATTAAAAATAAACTGTCTCAGTAAATTTATGCATTGTTTTTATTTGAAGTCATAATTGCCCCTCTATGATAATATAAAAATAAGGAGATGAGGTATGATTGCCAATGAGACACCTATTGACCAAAGTTCAAATGAAGTGGATAACCTTATTCTTAATTAGAGTGAAATGAGGAAGAAAAATCTAGGGAAGTTGAATAACCAGACTTCTATATTTACAGTATCTAAATTTGAATGTGTACAGAGATCATTAAAGTTAAGTTGGCTTTTACGCTAGTTGGACCATGGAATCACTTCTACAATCCTTTTGAAAGAAAAACAATAGTTATCACTAGCCAATCAAATAATTGGAAAAGTAACAAGGATGACTTGAAAACCTGTTTTACTCAATAGTTACTGTATTTACCAAAGCTAATAAAGAATTCATGATTCACTAAACAAACAAGTTTATATAACTTATTTCACTAGACAAAGACACTCCAATAGATCAGTTGTAATAAAAAAAAAAAACACTTAGGTAAGTCTACACTCTACACATGATGTTATGAAGTTTAAAGGTCACACCTTACACTTTTGAAAGTTTGTAATCTGTACATCTATCCATCTTTGTCTAATTTTACCTTTACTGTGTCTTCTCAGAACCAGAACTGTCTGGTGAGCAACATAAGTTGTAGAATGTAGAGACATGGGGATGCCCCAGACCCCTACTTTGCTAGAATCAGAGGGGAAGCTACACCTATAATACAGCATATAGATCGGTAATTTGTATTTGACTTTTTGTTGAGATTCCAGTCCATCTGATGAATCAATCCATTCCAACTGAATTTTTGCAGTTTAACTTTATGTTGTGCGTTAGGGGATGGTTGAGCGCCCACATACATGCTTAATTGCACCACGTTCTTTCTGGTGACTGTCCCAAGTCCGGAGCCTGTAATTCATTGGTTGTTAATGGTTGCTGTCTGCAATATTTGTTTTTCGTTTGAATATTGTTTAAAGCATAAACCTGGCCGTTGGTTTTCTGGATTTTTTTCACATTTTGTCATGCTGGGGCTTTTATAACTTAATTACTATACTGTCGGTATGGGTTTTGCTCATTGTTGAAGACTGTACGGTGACCAGTTTACATCCTGGTCTTTTGTTCACTAGTAGATAGTTGTCTCATTTATAATCATACCGTATCTCCATATCTCTTTATTTTTTAACCTTTTATTTTTAAGGGGTCGCGTTAAAATCTTTTTCTTGGATTGTGAATGGTATATTTCGTCTATATTTCACTGCAGTTCTATCTTTCTTACATTAAGCCATGCTTTAATCAGAAGATCAACAACAATAGCATTTATTTGTTTCTCAATTGACAGATTATAAAGTGAAGGAATGTAAAAGATACAAATCCACTAAATTGTTTTATTAAGCGGAGATTTGAAAAAAATCTAATGTTTGCCAGTTTTGCTTTTCCAACCCTCCACCTTGGTTATAACCAAGAAAACAAAAACATAAATGAAAGCTTAACCATTTTTGTTATTGAATTATTGAGTGGAGTACTGTGTTCAATTGCACTCTTATATAAAAGAAGAAGATGTGATATGATTGCCAATGAGACAACTATTCATCATAGACCAATGATGACGTAGATGATCATCACACACTTTATATATATATTTTTCATCCACCATTTCTGCCATATCGTTAAATTGCTCGTCTTTTACTGTTCTCCGCTTCTTTGGAAGAGGATTCGCCGCCAGTGCATGATGTCGTGGGTTTTCCTAGATCAAACTAAAATAAATTCTGAAAATTCTCCGCTTATTACATGTAATTTAGGAGAAAAAGCTACAAGTTATCGGTTTGGAGTCAGAATAATGTGTCCGAGAGGGGTGACGTGTCTTCCTCCTTATTATTTTATTATTACATTGTGAACTAGACCGTACAAAAAAGATCCTTAGCTGCTTGTTAGTCTTAGTACAAAGCAAGGTTCATACACATATCATATTACTGTGACTTGACTGTAAGTGTTGCTAAAGGTGATAGGTTACTACCGATTACCTTTAGCATGACAATTTCAATAAAATTTGCGTAGAAATTGTTATACTGATTTTTCAAAATATCATTGAAGTAGAATTTAAGTCATATAGGATTGTAAGTATGCTTTAGTTTATCTCCTTGCACTTCCACGACTTGTTTGTGGTTTACTACAGTAGTTTGTTAAAATTTCTTACCAATTGAACTGTTTGGTTTTATAAAACAAATTGGAATTTGGTCAGAATTTTGAATAAATTGCAATAGGTGGAGAGCAATACTTACAGTCAAGTCACAGTAACATGTTATCGTCCTAAACTGCATGTGATATTAGACACTGGATGCTAAACTCCAATTCATCAACATCATCATATCAGTTTTTTATGCCATGGGGTGTCTTTGTTTCTTCGGCTTTTGTTTTTTATTGGTCCATACTATCATTTTCTAGACTTCAAGGGGTCGAACAAGTTGCCCTAACATACATTCTTCCTTCGAGCAAGGATTTGCATAGTTACTATACAAATCTTTGCTTTGAGCAATACATTAATTTAAGACAGAAAGGGGGCAAAAGTTCCATATGAAACTCTTACTCAGTTTTGGGGAAGGGGACTGAGACGTGTGCTGCATATAAAATATTGAAAGGCTGATAAAATAGGCTTAGGAATAATAGAAATTAATGCTATTTAAATGATATTTAATGAGATGAAGGTAGCTGGTCAGGTGCATGGTTACCGACACATACATACTGTAAAATAGAAACTCGATCTCGATTTATTCGGCAATATTACAGTTTCTGTCCTTACTGTTATAACCAGAAGTATTTCATGTTTTTAATATAAAAGTCTTCGTGCGATTTCCCGCAGGAAAGCCTTTTCTCGCTTAGTTGAAAGTCCTTTCTTCTGGTCATTCTTTGACAACGGTTTTTTTCGTTGTGTGATGACCCGAATGTGTGGAACCATAAATGAAACCATGACAATGTAGAATATATAAAACGAGGTTTGTTCACACCGTTAATCATTCTATTGATGATACCTGAGTCTTTTTTTCTGTCTTTTCTCTCTTTGTTTTTTCTGTCTCACCTTTTTTTTTAAATTTAACTTGAAGTCGTACATGTTTATGCATGGATATGATCTTCTTTTTTTTCTAGTTAAAAGCTATTCTTGTAATACTAAGTTACAAAGTACTAAAGTGCACACATCTGTGTTTGTTTTATTTACCTAAAGAAAGATATGTAACACTCCATTAAATTTATTTAAAGGGGAGAAGAAGGGAAAACATCTATTTAACTTGTAAAAAAGTAAGAAATGTCTTTTGTTGTAGTTGACAAATTAATAATTTTATGGTATGAAATAAGTTATTAATTGTACTAATAAATTGTTCATTCATATTTACTGCCTTAATTTGAGTTTTATGACATAAATCATACAATTATTAACAGTTTATTACCTATCTATTTAACCTGTTTTGTTTGATGCGCAATACGGATTTCGAATTTGATTGATTTTTATGTGATTTCTTAATGACTTCGATTACATATCCTTGGGGAACAAAAGACATTGTTCATTTAACATTTACACTTTCACTTGAGATCCTCATATTTTTTTACATTGTGCATCAGTTAAACAAGGAATTTCCTTTCTCTCTTCAATTTTGAATCCATATAACAGTTGTTGTTTTTCACCAAGTTTATCAACTTTTGGACAAAGAATAAGGAATAAGGAACTAATTAGGATTCAATTAAAATAAAATATGGATCACAGGATTCGCGAGACACTGGTAGAAATGAACAGAATACCGGAGCGCAAGAAACAAAAATTCAAAACAGAATCAATTCAAAGGTCGCATGCTAAACTGTCCCATAACTTGAAATCCAAGCTGAAATTAAGGAAATTTAATAATAAAGCCAAGAAATACGTTCCAAAAATTAAAGTGACACCATCATGTGTACGGGGATTTTTTCATGAAGTTTTTCCTTTTGTGGATATCATGAGGAATTACAGCCCAAGAAAGTCATTACTGAAAGACTTTGTCGCTGGAATCACTGTTGGAATCATTCATATACCACAAGGTAAATACTAAAAATATTTAACTCCAATCATGCATAGAAAACGTATGTGGAAGATTCAAACTAAACATGAAGGAAAATGCATTTTTATCCTTTCAAATAAAATACCCATCTTTTTGCTCTTATCAAAAGTTCTGTCATAGCTGAATATTAAATGTTTCAAAGTAAATTGTAATGGAATGACAATTTTTTACTCTAACTTGATTTCGTATTTCCATTTTGATAAAACGTCTTTTATTTCAGGAATGGCCTATGGTTTCCTTAGTAACCTACCACCAGTTTACGGTTTGATAGAACATCTTTTATTTCAGGATTGGCCTGTGGTTTCCTTAGTAACATGCCACCAGTTCACGATTTAATAGAACATCGTTTATTTCAGGAATGGTCTTATGGTTTCTTTAGTAACCTACCACCAGTATACAGTTTGATAGAACATCTTTTATTTCAGGAATGGCCTATGGTTTCCTTAGTAACCTACCACCAGTTTACGGTTTATACACTTCATTCTTTCCAGTCATCATGTATTTCTTCTTTGGATCATCAAAACATATATCCATGGGTAAGCCTCTTGTTTGTAAATGACAAAGCGATTTTGACGAGCTTGAAAATTAATGATTGTGGTTTAAATGTAGAGACCATCTTTTATCATTACACCACAATTTTCATTATGCGGTCATCTAAAGAAAAAAACATCGATGTAAACGCACTTCTTTGTTTAAGAAGTAACTTAATAAATAATAATATATAAATCAGGTAGACAGTAACCCAACAACAAACTAATTAAAAAACATATACAGGGCATCCTAAATCTTAAACAATAGATAGGGGTCTATACAATATATATACAATACTAGTACGTTTAGTGCACGTTGTGGTAGCCATTACAAGTAGACTGAAAATTTCACAGCAAACAACAATCTATCAATCATGCTTCATGGTACTGACCAAGCTTCAGTTTCAGTGTTGTCATTTGTTTACACATGTCTGTGACTAATTGTGTACTTCCATCGCTGTTGTCTCCGCCTTGCAAAGTCCAAGCGGTCATATTGATTTGTGGTGGTTTTTTTTTGGGCAAAATTTGTACTTTTTCAAACTGAACTGCTAAGGGAAATCCTCTTAGATATGCTTGTTGCGAATAGATAAAAGAAACATATGGGATGAATATACACGTAGTATAGGGAAAGTAAGGTAGAAAAGATAATATAAAAATAACGCTTTTTATCATTCTTTCTTTTAAAAATTCTTCAGAGATATAGTTTTTTTTTACAATAAACAGAAATATATGTTTTTGTTTATATTAAAGGGACATTTGCAGTGACCAGTTTAATGGTTGGAGCTGTTGTGCAGAGGGGGTATGATCAATACTCCGGGGAAACTACTATCACGAGTGAGTTAAATTCCAACCAAACCAACCAAACCAACACAACAACTATGTCACCAGATCCAGATCAAAATTTTTACCCTATCAAACTCGGCATGGCTATGTCTGTTACATTCCTTGCTGGAGTAATACAGGTATGTAGGTTTTTGATTAAAAGTATTAAATGCTGGTGCTGTTTTTTTTTTTGTTTTTTCAAGTTTTACATTTTTTCGTTGAGCTTCCGGTTTCCATGGTAACAAATGATTTTGCGAATCATAAGTGATCATAAGTGTCATATGAAACTGAAACGAAGTTCGGGTGATAATAATGTTATGGAAATATAGAACCAATGCATGCAAATAAACTAAACTGAGTCCTCTGTGCACGTTTTTTGCATTTATAACGGATCCATAACGTATAATCAACAAAAAATATTTCATTCGTTGATCGGACTCTTTGGCTACTAGGTAATTAATTTTGGGGTTTTTGAGGCGAAGGTATACCTTGGTCAATACAGAATCATGGCGAACGTGTAATAAGTGTGTCCTATGAAACGAAGTTCTGGTGATAACAATGTTATGGAAATTATTGAACCAATACATGCATATATACTAAACTGAGTCCTCTGTGCACGTTTTTTGCATTTATAACGGATCCATAACGTATAATCGACAAAACAATTTCATTCGTTGATCGAATACTTTGGCTGCTAGATAATTAATTTTGGGGTTTTTAAGATCAAGTTTACACCTTGGTCAATACACAATCATGGCGCACGTGTAATAAGTGAGACGATAGAGCAATGTATATTTGTTGTTTTCTTTATATCTTTTAATGTTTTTCGATTTTATAATTGAATTTGTCATAATTTATTATACTTTATTAATTTTTTGTTTCAGAATCCGTTAAAACTTTCTTCTTTCTACGTTTGTTAACTTTTTCTCCCTTCACAAGTTTTCCGTTCGCTGTGTGGTAGCCGATTTTCTTTAGCGAAAGGTGTCATGATTTCGGTCTCTGCATACGGAAAAGCAGTCGGTGAATTGACATACGAGAAGGCAGAGTTCAATAGCAGAACATTCCTGAATATTTGGATAAAATGAAGAATATTCTTTCTAAAAAAAATCTATGTACACGCGTTTATAGAACTACTGTTTACTTGCGTAGTGGCATTAAACATGTGTGGATTCTTAAGAACCTAAAAGAACTTCAGGGAAGTTTTAAATCTCCGTTATTCTCTAAAGGAGATAGAATTTTCCAGCAGGTTGTCGACAGTCCGATATGAGACCAACTATGCGGCTCTCCTGGCCAACTTTTTCTTATTTTCAAATGAGCCGGAGTTCCTTCAGACACTTGTAAAAAACCAAGAATAAAATAAGCTAGGTCATTTTATTTCACATTAAGGTATATTGATGATGTTCTTTTAATTAACAATCCAAATTTTTCTGATTGGGTATCATTAATATATCCTCCTAAACTTAAGATTCAAGAAACCACAGATACAGCTTCTTCCGCCTCATTTCTAAACATATACCTCGAATTTTACAACAGCAGTCATCTCAGTACCAGAATCTATGACAAATTACACGATTTCAATCTTGAAATTATAAATATTCCTCACCTTAGCAGCAATATACCAATTTAACCCGCATATTGAGTATACATTTCTCAACTCATACGATATTCAAGAGCCTACAGCTGCTACTCAAACTTTGTTAAACGTCATCGGTGTCTGAGCAAATAATTAAAGAGCCAGCGAATCACTTCACAAAAAACGTACGAGAAAAAAATACTCATGAGTTATGAACATTTCATTATAACTTACGATCAATTTTTGTCATAAGATTTTTTGTGAATAGAAACCCAGAGTTTTGCCAAAGAACGTCTCGTCCTGTTTCCCAAATTTTCCACATTAAATGATGTTTCTGCTATAAAATTATTCAACTGTTTAAGTATAAGTAGCTTTCACATGTTTAAAAACATCTATAACATTTCAGTTTTTGTTTGTTTGTTTTTGTCCGCTTTGATTTGTCTGTTGATAATTTTCCTTTAAAAGAAGTGATCTGTTGTTTGTTTCTTTTATTCGCCTGATTCATCTACCTAAATCAGCAGTTAAACTCATCGGGCGTCAGTATTTAAGTTGGAGAACTAAGTTCACTTTCGCATCCCATATGTTAAGCTATGAAATTATATTTAAAAACATTCTCTTGAAAAAGAGGAGAGCATGAAACGCCTCAACTACGAGTACAATAGTTTACCCCAAAAAATGAAATAATTGTATGAATGTTGCAACATTTTTTACAGCTGCTTCTAGGAATATTCAGATTGGGATATTTAGCATCTTTCCTGTCGGATCCTTTGATTAGTGGCTTTACATGCGGTGCTGCAGTTCACGTATTCTCTAGTCAGGTGTCACATTTGTTTGGGGTACCTGTACCAAATTACCATGGAGCATTCAAGCTGATTTATGTAAGGTTATTTAATAAATCAATATGACAGATACCACTAAAGAACATTGCCTATAATTGCTTACATCCACTTCATTTGGACATTGGTGGATAGTTGTCTCATTTGCAATCATATCACATCTCTATATTATATTGTTTATATTTTAACTGCATTTGACGTGTTTATACACAAATAATACATGAAAATATGAGAGAGGGAATATCATAATTGATAAAATGGAACTTGATAGGCCTTTTTTTCGGCTGCTCTACTAAAATCGCGTAAATGTATACCTACAGAATTTGTTTGTTTTACGAGAGCTTAGTTAATTGTATTCATTCTTATTCTTTATCGTTTAGTATTATAGAGATTTCTTCAAGAACCTGCACTTGACAAATCCAGTCACTTCGACAGCCTCAGTGACATGCACATTTGTCCTGATTCTGATCAAAGAAGGGATCAATAATAACCCCACGTGTGAACCTGACTTGCTTGTACCAATACCCGTAGAGCTTATCGTGGTGAGTATGGTATTCTTTTTAAAGAATCTGATCAAAACATATATTAGTAGCTTTTAGCTGGGACCAATACATATATGTTAGTCCCAGCTTTTAGTTTATTTGGAGACTTAATATTTACATAAACTAAAACATTTGTTTGTAGACTTTACCTGAATGTATGTGTTAAGCTGTTGAACTAAATTCATGTGTAAAAAAAAAAACTCATCGGTACTTGTCTGTGTAAAAAGATAACTGCTCTAGTCAAAGGTAAAATATGTTTCACACCTCGAAAATTACGCGAAATATATTTCATATAAAGACAAATTTTTAAAAAAATTCCTAAAATTATCTATGTCCGATTTGAATGAATGTTTTACCATTAAATACAGAAATATCTGAGTTTCTTGCAACATTTTTGGAGTGTTTTTTTTTTAATTATACTTTTAAAGAAATCACTACTTATAGATAAATCTAAATATGATACATGTATATAAAACAAATTTCGATATTTGTATTGAAAGAATGATTTCTAACGAATGATACGTCATCAAAATATTCCCAATTAACCATAAAATCTGCAAACATGTGTGTGCTTAATAGTAGAAATAACAGGAAATAAGTTTTTGAAACCAAAAAAAAATGATTTGAATTATATTGCGTAATTTTGGAGATGTGAATCACTCATTTGACCTCCGATTGTACATGCGAATATCATTATGTCTGAAACTTTTCTGAAATATTTCTTTACTTTCTGTATTTCAGTAAAATACATTTAATAAAGATAAAGTCAAAGTAAATTATGTCAAAATAACTAAAATATATCTTTTATACTGTAGGTTGTTGCATCTACTGTAATTTCTCATTATACAAAGATCCACGATGAATTTAAGGTAGAAGTGGTTGGACACATTCCTGTTGGGTTAGTATATATTGAGTTGTCATTGAAGAAGATAACACTTTAGATCAATTAATTTCATGCACTTTCCTGCTAACCATATACCTTCGTGGTGGATTCATTTTATGGTCACACAGAAAAGAACTAGTAAATCTTCACTTTAGCTGAATCAAAACATAGCAGCCAAAACCCATGTTTTTTCTCTGTGTGTAATAAATTGCTGCATATTGTAACGCCTGTATCATGTGTATGGCGACTTCAGAGAAATCCACTTTTTGTATTAACCTAAGTTAGACTCTTTCTCGATGTCGTTTACACCAAATTTCAAAAAAGATCCAGTCCAATAATTTTACGATTTTTAAATTATCCTTTTGTCATATCTGATCGCTTCTGTGTTGTTTAAAGGCAATAATCAACAGTAGTAATTCAAGTCGTAAATTAAGTCGTTAATTTACGATGACTAAATCAGTTTGTTTAACGTTTCAAAATATTGATTTATTTAGTTAGCAAACAGTTTTATGTGTTAAATTAGAAAACAAGAAAGCAAAGTTTAAAAAAAATCAAAGTACATAAAAAAGATAACAGGGATCACCAAAATACTGAACAGCACAACCGACCGCATCAACCACTAACACTCGACTAGTCCGAAAAAAAACCAAACCATGGACGCCCAGATAGCATTGCTTGGTACAGACATACAATATGGTGGGGTTATAACCAGTTATACGTGCGCACACTCCCTTACCTATCTAAACATTAGGCAGTAAGACTAAAAAACACAATAAAAACCCACACAGATCAGCTAACAATTAACAGACTTACCACTAACTTGAACAAGTGAAGAAAGAAAACAAAAAATCTGATACGACATTCCTAACAGGTTTCATGAAGTCTCAAATTAAATCAAAATGGAATCGACAGTATTTGTAAGATGCCAGTAAGTATTTAAATCGTCAAATCCTCGAAATAAAGAGCTATAGAGTGTATCACGCCTGTAATCCTTGCTTTTAAAAGATGTAAGAAACTTACCGAGTCAAATTATATATTTATTTGGGTGTTTTAAATCTATTAACGAAATTCAAATAAAAAGGCACACGAGGCACACGAAATATGAAAGACTTAATGATAATCGTTCATTACAGTCACGTTTTATAATCATTTTGTTTCAGGCTGCCTCCGATGGAAGTCACACATCTTGGATACATATGGGATGTAATAGGCGATTCTTTCGCTATTGCTTGTATAAGCTTTGCCATTTCATATTCCATGGCCAAGATACTCGCTGAGAGGAATGACTACAAAATAAATCCAAATCAGGTATGGCTTTGATGAAAGTACGTCTAGTTTTGTGAACACATATTTTATGAGTATATGCATGTATATATATATTTGTTTTGCATGCACACGTATGAAAATCCATATATTTCCTTCTGTTTTTTTTTCCATTTGGATAAAGCACATTAACCCTTTATCCAGAATGTTTCCCGATTACCCGCTCGTTATCAATCCAGTGAATATTTGTATTCAATCACCAAACTTTCATGCGGTTGAAATTATCGAGGTTGTGGTCTAACTGTTTGACGTGTTTGTTCACTGGATGATATGCTTATTTAGACATTTGCAGAATGGCTGTTCCCACTCACCATATTCAAAGCCACATACTGAACAATTTAGAATGTAAGTAACAATCAAGATTTTGCAAAGACACATTGCAAAATAGTTTGTATTTATTTTGAGTGGCCTTATTGATAAAAGTTGCAGAACAATACATCTGTAATGTGAGCAGCATTTATGGCGTTTGTCAGCACACGAGTGGTACCCGTATTCACTAAAGGCAAGACTGGGTTTAGACACTTCAGCCCGAATAAGCAGATTCTTCAGCGTTTTATCTTTAAATTCTACAGTTTGCTCCTTGGGATTCGCTCAGGATTCTCAATCTTTTTTTATAGTCTGGTACGTGTTTTTTTTAACCCTTCGGTATATATTTCCTAAGATAGAATTTTCTTGTACTTTGCCAAAATGAAAATTTAACTATGCTTTTTTTTAAAAATATAATAAAAAGTATGGGTTACCGTGCTATTTTTCAAGCTACAAGTCATGCAAAATTGCATAAATTTGCATAGATTATTCATGAAAAAACACAATTTTGTGAATAAAAAGAAATCTATGAGAAAGAATTTTGAAATAAAATATAAGATAGGTTTTATAATATGCTGTAAGAAAATAAAAAGAAAAAATGGTGTCACCGAACTTGTTTTCTTGCTACAAGTAAAAAATGATAATTTCACTATCATTTCAGTATAAAACTTTTACTATAAGAGTTATCTCCCCTTAAATGGCTAAGTCGAAAAAATCATTCTGAAAACACAAATATTTGGTATTTGTTTAATCATTTTGGATAATGCAATTAATCACTTATTTTTCTTTATACAAATAAACAGTCTTACTCATAAATTGCAAATCTGCCTCAAAATTTTCAGATTTAAACAAAGAACTAGACTGATTATGTACTGCTATTGTACAATCCAAGATGGCGGTACATGTACAGTGAATCTGGCTTAAACGATTTTCAAGTTGACCCCGACGTTTTTGTGTTTGTTTCTTTGATGGAACATATTTGGATGTAACGTCCTTATTCCGAAAGGACTTGGCTGCGTACATACCGCAAACAGCCAAGCATATGCCCCATTTCGGCAATTTTTTAATACTAGTATCGGTCGGAAGAAGACTTAAATGTTTTTTTCTCGATTATAAAAGCTCTTTATAGAGCTTCTGTATGTGTTGAAATGTACCGACTCTAAATAAAGCTTATTGTTTTGTATTGCACCAAAGGATGACCATATTTCTAAGACCCAGTCAACCTTTCGGGTGTCATATTTTGAGCGTCAACAGTAACTTTTTATATCTTTTGGAATACTTCGAATTTTCTTGCCTTGCCAGCGTGGTATCATGGTGCATTACTGTTAAAATTCCAATATGTATACTTTCAGGTTAAGAATATAATACTTGATTCTCAACTAGTATTTAGGTTTTATATTTTTGCAGGAATTGGTAGCTAGTGGCGTCTGTAACGTCTTTGGATCCATGTGTTCATCATTTTGTTCTGCTGCATCATTGTCAAGGAGTTTAGTGCAGGAAAATGCCGGGGGACGTACACAAGTAAGTTAAAGGATGATATTTATTTCAATCTCATGCGGACATAATATAAAGAAGTTAGAGAAATTCGAATTAAATTCAGTTTCAGATTTCGGTAGTGTTCAATCATAAAATCTTTTATATTTTATAAATGTTTTTTTTTTTCTATTTACATTTTCCGTGTATGATATATTTAAGTATTATCATCTGATCAGATAAGGTTATCAAATGCAGCATCTTGCCAGTTTATAGCTACTTTAACATGGTTATAAATTCATATTTGACTATTCATAGAACTTCATGAATACTTATTCATTTGTCTGGTATATGTTTATGCATGATAAAATTTTATGTACATGTTTATTGATTTATCTTTTCAGATTGTTGGATTATTTTCCTGTTCTTTAGTCTTAATAGTTTTATTGTATCTTGGACCAATGTTTGAGTCCCTTCCAACTGTAAGTCTTTAATTTATGCATTTCAAATATTATATTGTTTATATCATCATTAAATCATTTTTTTGTTTTGTTTTATTGGCGCATACACCACAACTCCTTTTTTCTATAATGAAAAATAAGAAAAAAAAACTACAGATGATAATAAAATTATTGAGCTATTTGAAAAGAAATTTCATTGAAGCAAACAGTCATCATCTCATTCTAATTATTCCTAACGCATAAACAGTCATATCTCTTTGTTGCTAATATAGTTCATGAAATACAAGGAATGAAAGTAGCATGATGGCAAACAAAAGGCAGCTCGTCACAAACTGTATATTGTATTCATGAAATTTTGATTTTTCATCTTCGTAAAACTTGCAGTTTCTAGCTTTTTGCTAAGCAATTTTACGATAAATGTCTGTAAGCAAATACGAAAGATGAACTTAAAATCACCTTGTGCTTTATTGCTAAGTCAATGTTTGGAACTGCGGTAATGATTCATTACTAAATATTTATGATCGTGCGTCAATAAAACAGCAATAGACTAAAACGATTGAGAGTCTAATACTGAGAATACATTTTGAACTGAAAGTTGAACAGTATAGATGCAAGCCTTGTTTTAGATACTGTTGACAAATGATTTTTCTATCGTTTTACTAAGGTTTTTACAGGCATTTGATTTCTGAGTAACTTAAAAACATATACAACTCCTCACCTGAAAATGAAGTTATGAATATGATAAAAAAAATCATATATAAAAAATCTATGTACATTTATAAGGCATAAATGCATGCGTGTGTTCTCCTGGCTAAATTGAATTTAGATTTGTAAATAGTGTACATATTATGTTTTCTTTAATTTATATCTGTGCTATTTATCACATGTAACTTCTTTATACCATTGTATTGACAAAGCTTTATTAGAATAAAGATATATAAAATTATAAATCAAGACCTATTGAAATGAGTTGTAGTAATTAAAAAAAATCATTAACTTTCCTATTTTGAATTTTCCATTTGTAGGTAATATAAAAACGGCTTATATATTTACGACTATGTCTTAGTCGGCACTTCTGTGTTAAGGATGTACACCTCTGAGGAGCCAAACATTTCTTGAATTAAACTTTTGTTCTTAAACTGATTTTTGGGTTTATATGACTGTAAAAAAATAATTGGTGAAGAAAAAATCATATGGTGGTGTACTTCTTTTTTTGCTACGGCCATTTGAATTTAAAGTACCCAATTCTGATGATTTTCCCATTTTTCATAAATTTTTACCCATTTTTGGGCTATTATCATGAAAAAATTTACAGTTTCACAATTAAACTTTTTTTCATACTTTCAATAAAGATGAAGTGGACCAATCTGAATAAATTTAACTTAAAAAAAACTATAGGTAGGTGTTAATATAAGAAAGTTTTATAAAATTTTGTTGCTTTTTCGTGTCAAATTTACCATGCTGTCAATTTTGTCAATTTGGGATTTTTCTCTTTTTTTTAGAACAAAAAAGCATATTATTTCAACTTCTTTGTTATAAATGATTGAAAAAGTACATATCTAAGAAATTTGAAAAGAAAAAAAAATTGATATGGGATGTACATGTTTCCGGTAAAATCATTTCTTGTACCCTCACCCATTTTCTCAACATTCAGGCTTATGAGACTGACTTGATTGGTAATAAAATTTGAAAATTTTATTACTCAAAAACTACTTATTGTAAATGCACAATTTTTTCACAGAGTTAAGTTTGATTATTATATCTTTTAAATTCATTGATATTTTCCACTTGTATCACATGTTTTGGAAATAATTCCAGAACGAGATTTCAACGAGACTGAAACGTCAGAAGATATATTAAAATTAGTATGGTAACATTAATAAATTAACTGTTTACATAACTTTGAATTGTTCGAAAATCTAAGGATTTTTTACCCTAGGAAAGATTACCTTAGCTGTATTGTGCAAAACCTTTCGGAATTTGTGGTCCTCAATGCTCTTCAACATCGTACTTTATTGGGCCTTAATTTTTTTTTATTCGAGCGTCACCGATGAGTCTTTTGTAGACAAAACTCGCGTCTGGCGTACAAAATTATAAGCCTAGTTGGTATCTTTGATTTATTTGGGGATTTTTTTATGTAACTGATTATTCAAATGAAACACGCATTTAATTCGTTTGTTAACAATTGAAATTACGTTTAACATATCAGAAAAATAGTTGTTTACTTATCACAATTAATACCTTTTCCACGTTGAAACAGAATTGTAAATATCTGATACTTGTAGACAAACATGTTATAATTGATCAGAACCAGATCCGTGATACTAATTAGTAATATTTGAACAAGATACTATCATTTTAAAACATCGATCAACGTGTTTTTGTCTTGTTATTGGTACTCAATGTATACAGTTTACTCATATTTTATAAAAGACTTTTTTTTTCTGGAAAATCCAAGATAAAATATTCATGACAGAAAATTAAAGATAATGATAGTGTTCTTTTAAAATCAGTCGATGAAAATTAGACAGTTAAATTGGACTGAAAAAAATATATAGTTTTTTGGATTTTTTTCGTTTTAAGGAACTACATTGCTTCATACTACATATAAATATATATAATATTGAAAACAAAACCATGTATCAATCTAAGCACGTATTTTATGTTTATAGCAACTGTTTGCTTTTTCATCAATAAACCTTTCCAGGAATTTCAAAATCTGTTTTTTGCTATTGTATATATATATAAATAATTCAACATTTTTATTTTATGTCAACAAAAAGTTATGTTCATAATCGTGGAAATGAAACAATATTCCTTAGGATATTTTCATTGAGTTCTCTCATGGGATCTCATGCTTGCATCTGGAACATTAAAACAGAAATTCTATATTGCGTCGTCTGGAATTAAAGAGGATTAACCAATTAAATATAATCTTGTCAGAAAGATGGAATTTCGATTTTTTTAACCCCGTTGAAATGAATTTAACCTGATATGCTGTTAGCTAATGGATGTTAAAATTACCTGCTAATTAATTACAATACATATACATCCTATACGATTATTTGACCCCAGGGGAAAACGACTCATAGGTAACGGTTGACGCTCACGCTCTGGGACGGCAAACTCCTTCAACTGAAACAGTTACTATTAATATTGATACTGACTTAATTCACGTCAATGTGAACCCTTAAATAAAGCAACTGATACGACACCAGTGGTTTATTATGTGACAAACTGTAGCATCGTTGATGACATTGTTATATCTTCCAGTCTAATAATTGTTAGTTAAATATTCATACCAGGTATTGAGTTTCAAATAGTCAAGGTTGGCATGTCATATATCATGATAAATAAGCCGGAATATTAGAAATAACGTTTCTACTGCAGAGTTTGTTTCGATTCCTCGAGACTCGAGGATTTAACACAACAAGATATTTCAGTTAGTGATACAACCGGAAACAACAAGTGCTTCAGTGCAATTAAACATTTTAATCGACCGATGGATTATTAATTAATGATACACTTCAATTTTTGTTAATTTATTTATACAACTATTTCATCCTTTAAACATTATGATATATCTTGATGCCAGATATTTTATCATAAAAATTGAGCTTAAGTATCAAATCCATACTAAACGCGCTTCCTTCTTTTGCAGTGTATATTGGCTTGTGTTATTATAGTAACGCTAAAAGGGATATTCAAACAGTTTTACGATATGGTTATACTATGGAGATTATGTAAAAGAGACTTCGTAAGTTAGCCTATGATATTGGTGGTGGTGATTTGCTTGTTTGGTGGTTATGGGGAATATCCATGTTATATTATATTCCAACTGAAGTTACAAAAACATGTTTTGTTTGACAATATTCACCGACTGACGTGTCCTTGCAGTAACGGGAAACATTGTGAATACAGTATAAAGTAACAATTGCCATAGTTATGTCTTACTGGTTGCATTATGGATGACAATGAGGTAATTATCAATAGAAATGAAGAGGTTTGGGGTAATTCGGCTCTTTAGAATCTAAAGCACTGTGGGTAATCTCAATGTTCGTACACCAAAATGAAAATAATGGTGCGTCATTGGTTGAATTTCCATTGTTTAGTACGTTACAAACCAATCACATGATGTACGCTTTTGTAATATTACCAAGAATGCACTAGATTCTGAAACGGCGAATTGTACATGGATCATAAATGAACTAACTTCCTTGTTACCGGCATACAGATTACTATTCAAGTTTTGAAAAATTCATATTAAAGAAAAAATATGAAAGATTAATGTTTGAATATGGAATAATCTTTTCCTATTATTGTAATCGAAATTTTGTATGTCATCGTTAACTAAATGACCGAGTAGCCTTACCCATGTCCGTTATTTCGAAATACAAAAGTGGTTCTTAATTCACGGTCTTGTCTTGGACGTTGACATGATTTTGATACCAACTTTAGGTGAAACGACTGTTTATAAAGATGATTGTGTGCGTTCCCTCGTCCGTCCTACTTTGTATACGCGACTTCTGTTGTTAACAGTGACCGAATTTCAATGAAACGTTCAGAGAATCGTAAGTACCTCATGGTATTTTGTCTCTCTGCTTTATTTATTTTCCCTTTACTTCCAGTTGACATGCTTCCATGTTTTTTTCATTGTATTTTTCTCTTTTGATCATCGTCCGGTATCCTTTTCATATGCGGTTTCCGATTACCCTACCCTTTAAACATGCTGACAAGTATCAATTAGAACCCAATATTTACACACCCGCATGCAGTCAACAAACTGTAGTATGGAATTATTTGAGTTTTTATATTATCCAGACATGATTGGAAAAAATACGAATTCTAATATGATGAAAGTTATTGAAAATGAATGTCACATAATTTTAGAATTTGAACTATAAAGAAGCCGATTTCATCTTTTTACCCATGTATCAAAACTGTGTATACAATGATCTGACGCCGAGGCACCATTTAAAGTAGTTCTGAAAGGTGACCACGAAAGACCACAAATTGTCCCTAAAGGGTCTTTAACTACATAGGAAGTGACCAAATTGGCTTTTCATCCCGTTCTACTCACAATACAGTTATGAGTTATGGCCAAGTTTAGATTTTAATCGGCAAATCTGTGTGACGAAAAAGTGCTTAGTAACAAATGGTCGGAAAACGGAAGAGTGTGATCAAAACATCTCAAACTGGACATTCAGCGTTACTTTTTTAAATTGTTGCTTTTGTCATTTCATTATATATCTTTTCTTTCTTTCGGTGTTGTAGAAAGCAACTAAAAATGATAACTTTGTTCACGGGTTAATGTTTTTCCTTACTAATTTATTAGAACGTATTTTTTAACTTCCGGAAAACTTGCCAATTATTAAAGAGGTTTATTTGGAAGTGCGATTACTTATGTCACTGATTAAGTTGTGTTCGAGCTGTGGTGTTTTATTATAAAGATTGCAAGATTGAAACGCCATCCGTCGATAATAAACTCATCATAGATGTACAAAAATTAAAATTATATACGCCAGACGCGTGTTTCGTCTACAAAAGACTCACCAGTGACTCTCGAATCAAAAAAGTTAAAAATGGAAAAAAAGTACGAAGTTGAAGAGCATTGCGGACCCAAAATTCTGATAAATCATCTTGCGAATCTAACCATTACTAAAACCATACTTAAAACTGAATTAAACTCAATCCTTGGAAATATTATAATCAGAGTATTAATCTCTTAAATATGTTGATCACGTCTTTTTCCAGTAACATATTAAACACAATAGATGAAAGTGAATTAACCTGATATCCGACATTTATGGGTTTTTTGTAGGTACATTTTATACTGTTACTTGTTTGAAGTCCTGTATGACTTTCAAAACTGATTGTTCTTGGTGAAGGGTAAAACAGGATTTCTATAGCAAAATGAATTGGTATCAAACATTTAATTCTAAACATTAATCTAGATTACAAATGTATAATATGTATTGATTATGATCCATGTAAAATTTTAGTTTGTAGATTATGCAGCACGTACATATTGCACTTTAAATACAATATTGTCATTGGTTCAGGTTTTATGTTAAAACCAATACAGTCACAAATACGGAATAACGTTTAAGCAATTTACCCAAGAGAATGAGATTTATCAGTTTTTTCCAGTACAATAGTATTGGAAAATTAAAATTTTAATGAGTTAAGCAATAGCTTACTGGTTTCCATTAAACAATCAATCCAATTAACTGTCACCTGTCACAGTGGTCATGGAATCAATGTTTAATGTTGTATCCCAAACATGAGGGTCTTTATTGGAAAGAATGGGCTTGCTAGTAGTCTGTTGTTATTTATGTATTATTGTCATTTTGTTTATTTTCTTTTGTTTTCTATTCTGACATCGGACTCGGACTTCTCTTAAACTGAGTTTTACTGTGCGTACTGTTGTGCGTTTGTTTTTTCTACATTGGCTAGAGGTATAGGGGGAGGGTTGAGATCTCAAAAACATGTTTAATCCCGCCGCATTTTTGCGCCTGTCCCAAGTCAGGAGCCTCTGGCCTTTGTTAGTCTTGTATCATTTTTAATTTTAGTTTCTTGTGTATAATTTGGAGTTTAGTACGACGTCCATTATCACTGAACTAGTATACATATTTGTTTAGGGGCCAGCTAAAGGACGCCTCCGGGTGCGGGAGTTTCTCGCTGCATTGAAGACCCATTGGTGGCCTTCGGCTATTGTCTGCTCTATGGTATGGTTGTTGTCTCTTTGACACATTCCCCATTTCCATTCTCAATTTTATTGTTAACCATCCGATGGCTTTTGAAATGATATTTTTGAGTAATGCAATAATGATTTTAAGTTCAATACTTATCAAAACCAAAATTTCATACACAATAGAATTATCATATATTTATTATTATATATTATACTGGAAAACACTTACAAAATTTTTTAAACGCACTCAACGCTAGGACTCTTAAATATCCTGTCCTGTTAGATAACTGAGAGAAATGCATGTAAAAACGAAAAAAAAAGGAATGACTTTTGGTATAAAGTGTAGATATTTCATATCTGCAGATTATTTGTGTATTCATTTAATGATGTAAACAAATATGTCATCGTCCTCGTCTGTCAGGATATTGCAGTTTTCTTTTGTTTTAATATCATCGAGTTTTTAAACACAGCGAACCTTATTTACACATTCCTGTATGAAGCTGCTTCTGAGTGGGGAGAAAGAAGGGGGTGTATTCTCTGTCTTCATTAGCTAATACTCTCAATATTTATGACAAAAAAGGGTAATTTTATTATCCAACCACTGCGTATTTAGTATGAAGAAACGAAGACTTGCGGTATACGTCAATGAGAAAGCAACCGAAACGACAAGAAGACATCTAGAGGGCAACACATACACTTAATTATCCTGTCTTATAAAATATGAATAAATTAAGCTGAAATGATAAAATATCTGCCATTAACACCGAATTTTGAAAATCTCCAAACCAAAATTCGTGAAGATTTGACATAAGACGACAATTGACGAGGTTTCTTTGTTAAAACTTTGTACTTTGGTCTTTTTTGATAGTTGTCGCATTGGCAATCATACAATATTTCCTTTATTTTATATAGCTGACTTAGAAGTTGCAAATACATATGTGGCGAGGCTAAACTAGTTTTATGAGTTCTCAACCCTTCTCCTTTTGTAAGTGGACCAAGGTCAATTTTCAGTATTTTAACTTTTAACCAGCTTTCGGAAATTTTAATATCTTTGAACGGAAAGGAGGGGGTTAAAAATATGGATTGTTTAACTTTGTATCACACATGCCCAGAGGGGAGGGGATAAATGAAAACTTGTCCATGTCTGTTTTCCGCGTTTATATTGGTTTTAAAATTCTGATTCAATGTATAGGAACTAACTGTTTTGTTCACATTCATTTTAGAACCTTTTCATTGTCAATTAATATATATATATATAATTTGATGTGGCGGCATGGTAATTAACCTTATCATCCTTTACGACAGACACAAATAGCTGATCTGAAAGGTACACCATCTACTTGCCACTATACATCATGTACTGTGTTACAACCCTAGATAAACCGACGAGGAAAGACATCACATCGACCACCGAAATTTAATTTTTTGTAGCCTAGGTGGTCGAGTGGGCTAGGGTGCTGGACATGGTGCAGGCGGTGTTGCCACGATGTCACAGACGCAAGGGTTCGAATCCCGCTGAGGGAAGAACAAAAATTTGCTAATCTTTCAGATCTAACATTGTTGGGCTAAATTTGAGACGAATTATATATATATATTATGGTCTTAGCCCTGTATAACCACGTGTTATCCGATGGAGAAAATTTGTTATATACATAATATATACACAAATACCGGCTTATCTTCGTCAAGTGTGAAGGCAGTTTACTGTTAAAACTGTCCTTCCTCAACATTCTAAATAATAGACCTAAAATACAGTAGATTTTATACTTTCAGACTGTTTGGTTCGTGACATTTCTTGCAACAGTTATCTTGGATGTTGGCCTTGGATTAATGGTTGGCATTGCATTTGCCTTCTTTTTCGTTCTGAGAAATTCATTAAGGTTGGTATGATGATATTTGATATAAAAGTAAATCTGAGTGTTTAAAGCATCAATTTATGTCATTGAAGTGCACCAGTATTGTGTAATCTAATTATAATACTTTCGTGTAATAGTACTATTTAAAATTTCTAAGATGTCTATTCTGTTTGTAAATGGTTCAATATACCGGATAATCGTGTTATCATTTGAGTTTGTCTCATTATATATTTATTTGTGTGATATTTTTAAAAAGCATCAAAAACACTATTATAAACAGGCTATTATTTTACGTAAGCAAAATGATTTTTTACTAGTTATCTTTTACTTTTGAAAAGACAGAAGTGAAATAATGTTTAAACAAATGTACTATTTTACAGACCACATATGTGTGTGTTGGGAAACGTTCCAGGGACATCGGTTTATAGAGATATTGCTACTAATAGAACGGTAGGTATACTCCTATAATGATAACATTTATTGACTTACCAATCATTTTGGGATACTCATCTTCTAGTACTGATTGTACCTAATGAAGAATGTTATCAATATACTTCATCTGTGTTAATTTGCTAATGCTTTCCCGATTTTGACAGTGAATTTGAATGTTGGACTTTGCAATAACATTTAAGTTTAACACAGATTTATTAATCACAATTGTCTTTATAGAGATTCGGTATTGAACTAGAATACAATGACAGTTTTATACCTCCGTTTTCGTATCTCAAAGAGTTCTCTTTTTAAGAAATGCAAATAGGTTTTTAAAAAATTGGTAATCTCAATGTCACTGTCCCTCAATGATAGAGCTTCTCACTTAAACTACAAACAACTTGACCAATTGAAACATTAAGAGGTCAACATACGACCTAGAACTATAGATCAGACCTTAACAGTATGACAATCTCTAAATAGCATAATGTTTAGAATAAAGGTGAATAATTTCAACGGATACATCCGCATATCTGAAACATCAATACAAAACAAACAAAACAGAACAAGAAACAAGGATATGGTTAATAATACGAAATTCAATGTACAATATTTATGATATCTATATACAAGATCCTTGACATGGATATTCATATATGGGACTGGAACACTATAATTGTAAGATATCGATACTAGATTTCTGACATGGGACAGACATATGGTTTCGCTGTAAGGTTAATATAATGTATGATATTGATAAGACTTCTTACTTGGGACAGTCATATATGCGACCAGAAAAAATAATCACAACACACTACAATTTTTCAATAAATGTTTAGTCTTTTACACCACAGAACTTCCCTCATCACCTATTTGGGTTAAAAATGCAAACGTTGATTTTCAATATATATACATGATTACACTTGTTACAATAATACAACCATTCTTATTTCAGGTAACAGAAGTTCCAGGAATTAAAATTTTTAGATTCGAATCAAACCTCTATTTTGCAAACGCCGATCAGTTCAGGGATAGATTATACGATAAGACGAAGATAAATCCGAGAAAACTAAAATCAAAGAAACAGAAGACTTTGTATAAAGCATTACTGCAGAGAAAAAGGGAATTGGAACTTGCGGAAATAGACGCTAAAGCTGAAAAGAAAAGAACAAAGGTATGTCTGTAAGGAAATCTTGTTAAGTTTTATAATTCAAACTTTGAGGTAAGTGCATATAACTATAATTTTTTGTGTGACTGTTGTCACAAAAAGTTAAGAGGGTATAAGCCTTGAACGTCTGTCCGAAATTCTGGTTTTCAGTTGACGAACACCAAGCGGTTGCCTAGATCGATAAATAAAAGGAATATATCAAGTTTTAAAAAGTATCATATTGCTTCATACTAAATTACCAAGAAAAATGCCCAATGTATTGAAAACTTTAGGATTAATAAAGTTATCAATCATGACAAAGAGGTTTCATTAAAGGATTTTATATAAAAAGTTACCCTAAAATTAGAAAACATTTATAGATGATTAAGCGAGAATTACTTTAACTTTATTTTAATATTGCTGTATTGGTATTGATCGTGCAAACATATAAACGATGAAATGCTCCATATTTCAAAGTAAATGCAAATATTGGAATTTATATGTTTTCCATTCCTCGAATTAAACACCAATTTAACGACAATATTTTTATGATATTTGCATTTGAGAATATACAGAACAAAAACAAAAATATTTCATAGTACATATATTCATATTTTTCTATTTCAGAAAGAACTTGAAAAGCAAAAAAGTTCTATTGAGGAAGAGGTGAATAAAGAAATCCCCGAAGAATGGACAGAGGAACATGACCAACTACTAGCCAAAGAGAAAAAGGAACTGAAAAAGATTTTCCTTAGAGCTTGGATACCACCAATACACACTCTTATCATAGATTGTTCTGTAGTTAGCTATTTAGATACAGTGGCCGTCAAAGTTTTAACGCAGGTATAATTTTTACAGACTTTTAAACGGATAATGCTTCTTTAATGATTTGGGTCTATATGAGCTATACAACCAGGTTTAATCCAATATTTTCTACACAAGTAAATGCCTGTACGAAGTCAGGAATGTGACAGTTGTTTTCCATTCGTTTGATTTGATTGAGTTTTGATTTTGCCATTTGATAAAGGACTTTTTTCTTTCATTGAAAAAATTGCGTGTTAGTGTCACATACATTTAAACTATGTGTTTACTAGTAAAGGTTGCAGGCACAGAAAACTTTTGTTTTGACATGCACTTTTTACACATGGTGAATACATCCATGAAAGAAATGCTTTATGCAGTAAAAAACCGCATCAAATTTACCAAGCTTATAAATTTGTACGCCATATGCACGTTTCGTCTACAAAAGACTCACCAGTGAGGCTTGAATCAAGAATGTTAAAAAGCCAAATCCAGTACCAAGTTGTTGAGGATTGAGAACCTAAAATTCTGAATGGTTTTGCCAAATACAGCGAAGGTAATCTATTCCTGGGGTAGAAAATCCTACTAGACCAAAAGTATGTGTTTTTATCAATCTTTCCATGCGTGTATATAATGTATGTTAAGCATATAACTATGGTTGCAATTTTTATCAAAAGAATAAACATTTAAATACTTTTTTGCCGTGCAGCTTTGAATGAATCGTCACACAGAACACGGTCAAAAAGTGAAATCACAGAGAGGATGTAAAGACCAAAAGGTGTCTAAAAGAATATATAAAAAAACAAACTAGGACAAACTATAGCTTTGGTATCTAATTACAATGACTTAACATTTTTCGTTATTGTATTTTATCTAAAATGTATTTATATTTTGATTGATTTATATAGCCTCAGATCATAAACACAAAATTCATTGACGTAAAATTTTATATTTCATATATTTTGAAAACAAATCTTTCCATTGCAGATATTTGCAGATTTTAAAGAAATTGGAATTAAAGTATTCCTTGCTGGATGTAGAGGTATTTACAAATAAAAACAAAATTGAGGTAGATTGATAAGGGGTGTATATCAACACACGCAAAGTTCATAATTATGTAAATCAACTATATATTTTAACAAAACATTTGCTATATAAAGGCAACTGTAGTATACCACTGTTTAATAGTCATAAATCGATTGAGAGAAAACAAATTCGGGTCACAAACCAAAACCGAGGGAAACACAGCAACTATAAGAGGAAAACAACGGAACAACAGAAACACTGAACTGTAACAAAAACAAACGTCAACATACATAGAAACGGACTATTTGAAAACTGCCATATACCTGACTTGGTACAGGGTATTTTAAGAAAAAATGGTGGGTTGAACCTGGTTTTATGGCTAGCCAAACCTCCCACGTATATGGCAATGTTAAAAATACCGCTAAAATGATAACATTACGTGACAGGAATACAGTACAAATAAACACAAGAACACTCAGGACAAAGAAATACATAACAAAATAATATAATAGTAGATTACAACATGTAAACCACAGAATAACAACGGACATCTCCCATGAATTTTCGACAGTACACCAAGACACCACAATAGAATTATAAACTGTGCGTCACACGAATGTATCAACGCCACAAAAAGTGACGTTTTTTTGTGACGTTTATTTTATCACAGGTAAATTTCTAAAAATAGAATATAAAATTGGGATTGAGTTTGTAATGGTCTTATTTTATGTATTTTATACCCATGACAAGAATATTAAAATGGAGTTGTGTTTGTAATGGGGTTATTATTTGTATTGTCTAACCATGTCGGTTATTCTACTAAATCCTTGTGTTTCGTAGCATACAGATGATTATGAAATACTGTGCAGAGTTAGTATTTAAGATTTAGATGATAAGATAAAACAGCTTCATTAAAACATCATCAATATATCTGATTGATGAATATTTACACTACGTTGCATCGGTGTTACCTATATTTGTATTTTTTTTTTGCAGAGGACGTAAGAGACTTGTTAAAAAGAACGGAATTTTACCGCTCTGTAGATTATAATCCTATTTATTACACAGTACACGAAGCCGTGATCATTGCAAACGAACTTAATACTATTAATTTGGTGAGTTGAAATGAGACCTTAAGAATTATTTTATTATAGTAGAGAGTAGAAGTTTATAAACTTTTAGTTACATGTATTGAGTTGAAATAGAAAATGTTTATTGGAAATAAATAACGTACATAACTGGTCTCTGATATATTCTGTTTTCAGTAAAAAGGCAAACATCTAAAGGAAATCAAGATTGTTTTCTTACCAAATTACCATATTGTATTTTTATTAAAGTTTAAATTTGTTTAACATATAGTTTCAGAGAGAACCAGGTCGTGTTGACATGCACTCTATAGAAACAGAAACCGACATTGATTTATCCTTAGCAACTACATCTGGCAATACATATTCATCTGCAAATGAACCACAAGGAGCAGAATCAAAAATTAAACAAATTCAGGTAAATAAGTTTCAATATTCTGTCGTAGTGAATACACAGAATCTGATTGTTAGGCAATCATTACTTCATTACTTTAAATAGCATGCATCTATATGCAGCTTCTTAATTCTTACCGTAACTGCCACATGCCAATCTGATTTGAATTTAATCCAGCTAGGAAACACAGGACACTGGTTGTAACTATCAAAACACTCAAGCTTAAAGTGACGAAGACATTTTAAAAAAAAGTAAGATAGCAAAAATACCGAATTTATATTAAAAGGAGATTGAAGTTGATTCCTGAAAATTGACACCCGATTATTTCCATTTTATCATGTTCTACACCAAGTATTCCTGAAAATTGTCACCCGATTATTTCCATTTTATCATGTCTACACCAAGTATTCCTGAAAATTGTCACCCGATTATTTCCATTTATCATGTTCTACACCAAGTATTCCTGAAAATTGTCACCCGATTATTTCCATTTTATCATGTCTACACCAAGTATTCCTGAAAATTGTCACCCGATTATTTCCATTTTATCATGTCTACACCAAGTATTCCTGAAAATTGACACCCGATTATTTCCATTTTATCATGTTCTACACCAAGTATTCCTGAAAATTGTCACCCGATCATTTCCATTTTATCATGTCTACACCAAGTATTCCTGAAAATTGTCACCCGATTATTTCCATTTATCATGTCTACACCAAGTATTCCTGAAAATTGTCACCCGATTATTTCCATTTATCATGTCTACACCAAGTATTCCTGAAAATTGTCACCCGATTATTTCCATTTATCATGTCTACACCAAGTATTCCTGAAAATTGTCACCCGATTATTTCCATTTATCATGTCTACACCAAGTATTCCTGAAAATTGTCACCCGATTATTTCCATTTATCATGTCTACACCAAGTATTCCTGAAAATTGTCACCCGATTATTTCCATTTATCATGTCTACACCAAGTATTCCTGAAAATTGTCACCCGATTATTTCCATTTATCATGTCTACACCAAGTATTCCTGAAAATTGTCACCCGATTATTTCCATTTATCATGTCTACACCAAGTATTCCTGAAAATTGTCACCCGATTATTTCCATTTATCATGTCTACACCAAGTATTCCTGAAAATTGTCACCCGATTATTTCCATTTATCATGTCTACACCAAGTATTCCTGAAAATTGTCACCCGATTATTTCCATTTATCATGTCTACACCAAGTATTCCTGAAAATTGTCACCCGATTATTTCCATTTTATCATGTCTACACCAAGTATTCCTGAAAATTGTCACCCGATTATTTCCATTTATCATGTCTACACCAAGTATTCCTGAAAATTGTCACCCGATTATTTCAATTTATCATGTCTACACCAAGTATTCCTGAAAATTGTCACCCGATTATTTCCATTTATCATGTCTACACCAAGTATTCCTGAAAATTGTCACCCGATTATTTCCATTTATCATGTCTACACCAAGTATTCCTGAAAATTGTCACCCGATTATTTCCATTTATCATGTCTACACCAAGTATTCCTGAAAATTGTCACCCGATTATTTCCATTTTATCATGTTCTACTTCAACTTCATTTGAGTTTCAGTATAAATTATATAAAAATGGAAAGTTGAATTGTACTGTTTCTTTTAAATATTAATAAGAAGATGTGGTATGAGTGCCAACATGGCCAATGAGACAACTATCCATCCAAGTCACAATGTATAAAAAGTAAACAATTATAGGTAAAAGTAAGTATGTTTTCTTTATTATAGTATACGAACTTCGTTCATAAATGTCATAGGGTTGGCTGAAAACCTTTAGGTAAAATGTAAAAAAGGTTAAAAAAGCAAAACTAATAATGATAAACAAAGGATTTCAATTAAGAACGCCATTTGCGCGGAAATTTTCATTTGATATTTCTATTTATAGGTATAAGTTTGCTCAGCAATGACCACGAAAGCAGCTGATATGTCTATGCAACAAGATAGTCCCTACAACGAAAAGTCTGTCTCATAGCAATATACATATTGTGGAAGTTCATGTACTTTTACTTGAATTTGTGTGCAATATGATCCAATGTATATGTACAGAATAACAATTTCACATAAGTGGTTGATTCCGTTACTATTTATATGAAATTGGTGTCTATTTAAAGCATAAACCTTTTGTGCAAAATTCTGTAGAAGTAGTGGGTACTTACGATGTAAATAAACTTTTAACTTACAACATGTATTTAAAGATGCAATGTATATAGATTTTTTATCATTGTACACTCAAATATATATTTTCCAATTGATATCAAATTATTTTACACTTCTTAAAATTAAATCAAATTATTTATATCTGTTATGTTTTTGATGTTACGTTGAGCATAATTGTGTTTGATGTGTTCAGTAATTGTATCAGGATCTATTTGTCTACAAGTATTTGAGTTTCACATAACCGGCAGATCCTTGTCACAAAATTTGATTTTCAATCGTAAATTAGTATGCTAGCAGAAGCAGTTTACCGATGTTCAAACCTCATAAATCCATTAAAAAGAAAGATACAAATCAAGGTGAAAAAAGCGAGACCGAGTCGACAGGGTATGTGTCTTTGGCTTGCGAATCTGGCACATTCAGTCAAAAAGTCACAATCAGGAATAGTACACAATCGAAAAATATACAGATCAGACGTCTTTTCTGATATCAAAAGATTTAAGATCGCGAAAGATGTCCTGTCGCTGTTGAATGGAGACAAGGCAAATCTTATTGGTTAACAAATTCGTGGTGGTGACCATAACACCTTTTTAGTTTGGTTTATGTCGTTTTCCATAATACTCGGAACACCTTTTGTGTCAGGAACACACCCCTTGTTAATGAAGTCTATATAGTGTAAACATGCACGACCGTACCGTATATGTCAAACGATTGAGTGACCAGAGGGAATGTTACTGTTGAGAAATAGGAAGATGAAATGAGGAGTTTTAGTTGGCTTAAGGCAAATAAATGATGTTTTGTTTGTATAGTGTTGAAAGTGAAATGTTGGGAATATGCTAATGAGACAATAATTCAACAACACAAAAAGAACGAAGGCATCTAAGCTGTAAACATACGATATTCGGAAATACTAGATAATATGTCAATCTTTAAATCGCACCGAGTCTAGAAAAAGAGTAAAAAAAAAATTCAGACACTATCAAAGATCAATCGTCAACACCGTTCCCGAAAACAAAAATCTTAAAACACAACAAGATTTGAAAAAAAAAACTAACAGGATTCATAGATCTTAACAGGCACACATGTACATGCCTCTGCTTGCTCTGCAAGACGTAATAAAACGATTGAAATAAGTAACGTTTTCTGAAACAAACAAAAGGTTCGTGCTTTCCTGTTTTCTTTTGTTACCTCGATCCCTCGACTGAATTAGGTCTAATATGAGCATGGTTGCAAATTACTTTCAAAATATTCAAGTGTCTTACCGCGTATATTTTTCACATGTAGACAACGTCCCTACCGTTAATATTTTGTACGTAAATCACAATAAAATGACTTTTAAATAAAACGTTTACTTTAAACCTCAGAAATATGCATAGTTTTGAAAAAGAAAAAAAATGTAGAATCGGATTCTGGTTCAATCGCTGTTGAACAGTGACATTGGCTCCGATGCTTCAAATTGGAGAAGTTGGAATAGTTTTTCTTGCATTGGCATTTCAAAAAAGAATGACTAGAAGTACTTTTTATGCATGGAAGGTGTCCTGTGAAGGCTTTCACCATTACTTTATTCTGAATAACTCACAGAACTTTTTCGAGATTGTTGATCAAACATAAAGACATCGGAAGGAATAATACATTTCTCAGATCTTTATCACAAAGTTGCGTTTGAAAACACGCCACGATGATCACAATGTCAATCACACAACCTTTAAAATCAATTGCAATTCTTTAAAACAGAACTCCTTCTAAAAATGATAATAATATCGCTGCAAAATATTTATTGGCTGATCAATACCTATTTAAAAAATAAGTCTGTGTTACATGCACTTTTCACGAATAAAGTTAGTGGAAGTGGTAGTTGTCTACCTTTGTTCAAGCTTGTGACTGCGTGTTGCACATAGCAGGACACATCATATTTCGGTAACTATATACATCATTATAGCAGCAAGATAATAAAATGATGTAATTTACCAAGGAGGAAATCTTGTATAATCATATTTCTGTTCTTTTTTCTTTGTTATTTCAACCAACGATGAAGAACTGGATCTTCCTTCGATACCTAAATAAAGATAACAGTAGTATACCGCTGTTCAATAGTCATAAATCGATTTAACTGAAACAAATCCGGGTCGCAAACCAAAACCAAGTGAAACACATCAACAATAAGAGGAAAACAACGGAACAACAGAATCAAAAACAAACGCCCACATACATAGAAACGGACTATTTGATAACAACTGCCATATTTCTGACTTGGTACAGGACATTTTAAGAAAAAATGGCGGATTGAACCTGGTTTTATGGCTAGCCAAACCTCCCGCTTATATGGCAATGTTAAAAATACCGCTAAAATGACAACATTACAGACTACATAAACAGGGGTGTGCTCCTTATACAAAAAATTGCTCCGACAGAAGTATGATGAATATCGACTGAAGTCGACACTACATAACTTTTATGGTCACCATCACGAATTGGCTGACCGATACGATGTGTCTTAAATCACTAGCGACATGTTTTCGCGGTCTTTAATCTTTAGATACTAGTATAGTCATATTGTCTGTAATCTTACCGATGATGTCCTATTCCCGAATATGACTTTTTGACTGAGTGTGGTTTGAATGGCCGGTGATGATTGCATTGCAGGAGACACTTACTTACTTTGTTGACACATCTGGTGCGCTCCTTTTGGAGTTTATGCGATTCCTTCAGTTGTTGCCTTAATTTGTCTCTTCTTCGTCGACCTACGAGATTATAATTGTTTAACTACTGTTGCATTAGTTTCTTCGACTTACTATGTTTGATT